AGTGGTTCTGTTCTGCTTGCTTTAAACACATATAAAATGATACTGAAATTATTGCTGATTTATTTTGTTGTGCTAGCAGCATTTCAGTACTTTTGTGGTAGATTGTTTCTTTTAACTAAAAAATAAACAAACCAGCTGCAATCTAAGTAGGAAACATAAGAATTTAGAATGTGTATGATGGTTGGATTTTGCTGCTGATTTTCTCAGGGAAAGTTGGTCTCTGGACAGACGGTTTTCTGGTATTTATAATTGATTGCTTATATGTTAGAGTAAAATACATACGGTTGATTAAAAGAAGGAAATGTATTAGGGAAAAGGAAGATCAAAAAAGCCCCTAAGCAATAAAGGCAATTCTTTTTCAAGGAGAACACTTTGATTTTGTTTCATTTTTGTTTACCAATGTTCTGAAGGAAACTGCTGCTGGGTATACTTCTGCTGAGATGATTTGGCTCTTTTTTGTGGCTTTTCTCTTGTTCTGTACATCAGCACTGTGGTTATTACACCAGCTGCCAAGCAAATAACATCTCACATGCCATTTGCATGTAAGCACTCTCAGTCCAGATAGGGCTGTGTCTCAAATCCCCCAAAGATTTTATTTGTTTATTGGCTAGGCGCAATGGCTCACGCCTGTAATCCCAGCACTTTGGAAGGTTGAGGCAGGTGGATTATCTGAAGTCAGGAGTTTGAGACCAGCCTGGCCACATGGCAAAGCACCATCTCTACTAAAAATAAAAAAAAATTAGCCCAGCATAGTGGCGTGCGCCTGTAATCCCAGCTACTCAGGAGCCGGAGACAGGAGAATCTCTTGAATCCGAGAGGCAGAGGTTGCAGTGAGCCAAGATCGCACCACTACATTCCAGCCTGGGTGACAAGACTCCATCTCTAAAAAATAAAAAATATATTTTAAATATATGTTTGTTGAGATAGGGTCTCACTCTGTTGCCCAGGCTGGAATGGAGTGGCATGATCATGGCTTACTGCAGCCTTGACCTCCCAGGCTAAGTGATCCTCCTGCCTCAGCCTCCTAAGTAGCTGGTACTGTAGGCATGCATCACCATACCCAGCTAATTTTTGTATTTTTTGTAGAGGTGAGGTTTTGGCATGTTGCCCTTGTTAAAGATGTTAAACAAGAAGCTGCAGAAGGAATTTTGTAGCATGCATTTCTAAATTTGCTCATAATTTGTTTTTTGTTTTATTTTCATTTCTTGGTTAAAGTTGACAGTGATAGGAGAAAGTTGTACATTTCTGTCCTTAAAAGGCAGTTCCTCAACTTGTGTCCCACAGAAGGATCAGGTCATTTTTCCCAGTTAGATTTTGTTGCTCACGTCTGTAGGCAGAACAGTCAGAAGTCTTCAGCATGTTCCCAGATTGATGATCAGTAGACTGAAGTATTGGAAGACTTCTGTCAGAGCCCCGGCTGCATATAACTCAGTTCACAAAGGTGACTTTTTCCTATATAGGCAGTCCTTGGATATTCTGTCGTATCATTTCAGTTTGGCTTGGCTTGGCTACTCCTCTTACCATTTTATAAAGTTGGTTTTCTTAAGTTAGCCTCTCTAATGGTTTGTTTAATTTTTCTTCTAAAAGACAAAAAACATAGTATTTAACCATTTGCCGAAGATCTGTGGTGGTTGGTGGCATGAGTTAAAAAAAAATGCAGCAATAGATAGATGATAGTTTCCAGTCATGTCAGTTTAACTTCGTTTTCTTTTGTTTCATGCCTTCTTGTAGCAAAGAAGTTGAAGTCTGGGCTGTTTGCTTTTAAGTTCAGAGGAATCCAGTTAGGGGTTCTCAGCACCACTGTGCTGAGACGTTTTTGAAGAATTTTGAAAAATGGAAGTATATTGCCTACTGCTATTAGGAAATCTATCAAAAAAATAAATAAAAGGCCAGATAATTCTTCTTTGGTCTTCATAACAACGTGGTATGGTTTGTGGCAGAGAGCTGAAAAGTGTATTAGATTTGTCTTCAATTCTTGTGTTCTTGGTAATTGTCTGTTTTCCCAAACAGAGAATAAGATTTTAATCTTCTGGCTTTGGCTGATGTCAGTGGGGCTGAAGTTTCTAAATCACCCACGCACAGCACTAAAACTGTCACTGAATTGAGTCCAGGACAACTTGGAAACAAGTTGAGTGTTTTTCAAGTAGGTACTTCAGCCTGTTAAGGAGATGTCCATGCAAACTATCACTAAGACAAGACTCATGACCATGACACAGAGCATATTAAACTTCCAGCTGGGTTGTGGGTGTGGGGACATGTTTCAGTTAATTAAAAGTGAATTTATATGAAAAGTTCTTTACTAGAAGCCATTTTAAATGTGTTTTTCTGCTTTTATGATTTATCTCAGATACTCAAACAATGGCCTGAGAGTTTGAATATTGCTGAAGTCTTTTTAAAAGTGATAGTGCCCTCCCTTAAAAATCATCCTTTCTTAAATCTCTGTAGGGTGTTGGAACTGGTTGGGAAGAAAGGAACAGAAAGAACAGAACTTGGAAACAAATTCTGTGCATAGTGTTCTTGATCCCATTTGCAGATCAGAATTAGTAGCTGGTTCTCTAGCAAATCTTTCACCTCCTATGTTGCCCTCAGGTGTCTAAAATGTTCCAGTTTTTCAGTAAAACAAAAATGTACTTTTGTAACTGGATTATAAGACAATAAAATCTTATTTTTAAGTTATCACAGATAAAATAAATGGATTTTTCAAAAGGATATGGAGATGTTTATTAGCAAATCCAAGGTACTTTGAATGACATTAGTGTGTAATACATAGGTTTTTTTTTTAATTTTGAAAAATGTTAATGCAAAGTATTGTTCATAGGTAATTTAACAAAACGCATGTGTCCATGATTCAAAATGAAAACATAGTAACATTCTGTCATACTGCTTCAGATTGTTTTGCTTTATAAGAAATAAACCATTACAGTTAAGTTTGGATTCCCCTGTGTTTCCCTGCCCCATGCATCTTCCTCCCCAAGGACAAGCACTGTCATGAATTCAGTGCATTTGTAGTCTGTGTTTTATAATTTATTCTCATACATAAACAACATATAGTTTTTGTGTGTGTTTAGCTTACATAAATACTACCGTTCAGTACATCTCATTTTGTAATTTGCTTTGTTCTCTTCAGCATTATATATTGAAGATTCAGCATGCTGAAAACATAGATCTAATCATTGACTTACACCTGCTCATAGTCTGTGTCTCCTTTTTCTGTAGAAGGGAAGGAGAAATGGAATTAAAGATGATGTATTTGAAAGACTTTAGCTGAGTAGGGATTTATGAAGAGAAAGGGGCTGAGTGGGGCGGGCTTTGAAGTCTGTGCATAGGAAGCAGATGATGGATCAACTCATGGAAGGGGAAGAAACCAAAAACGAGCACGCCAGCTGCAAGTCCCAGGCATCTCTAGCAGAGGATGGAAGGCTCACCATCCACCCTGAGTAAGGATAGTGGTGAGGATGGGCAGAAACACATTTTGGTTTACTAGAAAAGAAATAAAGCTGTTTGCTTTGACCACTTTATTATGCCTCTTGCTGCCGGTCCCATCTTACGGAATCATAGCAGAGGGAGCTTGGGGAAAAATGTGATTCTTCCTTTTTCATTTTATAGATGAGGAAACGGGGGCCTATTGAGAAGGGAATTGTACTAGGGTCACACCAACTAATAATAAGCAGACCCAGGACCTACATCAAATTTAGTTTGACAGCTGTTTGTCCTTGTGTGTTATTAAATTGATACTTCACATACTGTAATCAAGGCTGTGTCAGGGCATTCATCTGATTTTAAATAGGCATAGTAGCGTCTGCACATGGGCAATTGAATAAAATGCATGAGCCAGGCACCATGCTAGGGAGGCTTAATTGAAGATTCAGCAGTGGGCAAATGGTCCCTGCCCCAGAGATGGGATAGAGGAAAACCTAAGAGAATCTCAGTACATAGTGCCTGGTGGCATTATGGAGGGGACCTGTGAACCAAGAGGGTGTTGAAGGAAGTGTTAGGAAAGGAATGGAAAAGGCCTTTGAGGTCTGGGATTCTAGCAGTCTCTTTTCTGGTTTCTTCCCCTCCCCATCATCACTCTAGTCCCCGCTAAATCTGTATGTCTGGTTTAAAGGAGATGTTGGCCCTTAACTGGTGAGTCGATATAGACAGGACCTGTGATGCTTCCTGAATCAGTCTGTGAGGCATTGCCTAGTGAATGGTATCTGTGGCTCATTTCCTGAGTGAGCCCTTCCTATGAGAGTGTCGTCTCATCGAGTGTCCCCACAGACAGATCTTTGATTTGTTTCTGCTTTACTTCTGGCTTCCTGGAACAGTTCTGGTATGTGACTTCATAGCAGCACTGAGAGCTGTTGGGGAGCCTTCTGAGACACAGAGACCTGAGTTTTTACGTCAGTGGCCCTTGTAGGTCAAGGGAGTGAAAAGTAAAAGAATTGAGATAAAATGCTGTGCTTGCCAAGTTGTGGTCTCTGCTTTATCTTTCAGCAAGTCTCCATTTTCTCTTAAGTCACAGTTCCCAGAGGAGCATGTGGGTGGTTCTGATGACCTTTTGTGTGTGGTTCCTGTCTCAGAAAATGGGCTACAAAAAGCCAAAAAACAGAGTTAATGTTTTCAGATTTTATATTCTGTGCTTTATTACAGTCATACAAATTGTATAACCCCTGTCGGCACTTTATTTATGTATTTATTTGTAATTTAGACGTACACATTGATGGCAGACACTTTCACTTTTAGTTTTGGTAGCCGTTCAGCTTTCTGTCTGAAAAGTTCCAGACTTACTAGTTGTTGTTAATTAGAAATCACATCTGCTCTTGTTTTTCCTTTTCCAAGTAACATCACAGACCAGCGTCCCAGAAGAGGACTGTGATATAATTTCATTTAGTCACATTCTCACATGTGAGTGACTTCACTGTGAAATTCAGAGGCCACTTGTAACAGCAGTGGAAACTCAGAATCTAGGATCTGTTTGCTTTGTCCATGTGACCTTGGGTTTGCTTTCTTTTCAGATTGTGGTGCATTTGTCCACAAAGGCTGCCGAGAAAGTCTAGCCTCCTGTGCAAAGGTTAAAATGAAGGTAAGACTTTCTGGCTAAAAGAAGGCTTAAAATAGAAGGGTTTAAACCAGCAAGATCCTCGGGAGTTGGGAGAATGGAAGCTGTGGTGGATTTTGTTTATTTTAATCATTTGATACCAACTTTGAGAGCAAATTATAACTAAAACATTTTTTTCTCTTAAGTGATCAATCCTTTTCTTGATTAACACTGGGGAATTAGACTTTCAGAAAATAAAATGCTTTTAGAACTTCTTCATGTTCAATATACATTTCTTGGTGATTTTAATATTTCCACGTTGCTGTTAAAGTGGTTTTCTTCTTAGCTATGTCTGTAGGCCTACCCTGCTGTTCATAAACCTGTCTTCTTCCTTCAGGACTGTCAGGGCAGCAGGTGGAAGTCAGGGGCACTGATCTGCTGGTGGGGGTGGGGAGGGTGTTATGGTAACCTAAAAGGGGGAATTCTCTTTTATTTTACTTTATTTTATTTTAGAGACAGAGTCTTACTCTGTCACCCTGGCTGGAGTGCAGTGGCGTGATCTCGGCTCACTACAACCTCTCCCTCCTGGGTTCAAGCAGTTCTCCTGCCTTAGCCTCCCAAGTAGCTGGGATTACAGGTGCCTGCCACCATGCCTGGCTAATTTTTTGTATTTTTAGTTGAGATGGGGTTTTGCCATGTTGACCCTGCTGTGGTGGTCTTAAACTCCTGACTTCAGTTGATCCACCTGCCTCAGCCTCCCAAAGTGCTGGGATTACAGGCATGAGCCACTGTGCCCTGCCAAGAATTTCATTTTAAATAGGAAGTAACCTAGTTCCTCTAATGATTTATCTTAGATTAATTGCTTCAATTTATAATTGCTCAAAGTATTTTTGTTATATACTACAATAAAAGTCTTAACTAAAATTAGCATTTTACCCAATTTAGCACCTTATAAATCCTAATTACTAGAAGTGAAATTAAAAAGTCATAGATGCTGCACTTAAGGCACCAGCAATCTTCTGGGGAAGATAGACAGGCAGACAGTTACTATAAATGAGAAAGGGGTGCCCATCACTGCCTTGGGTGAGGAAAGGAAAGAAGCTATGGATGGCTTTGCCAAGGAGGCAATACTTAAATAGTCTTGAAGCAGAACGCCATGCCTCTGAAGGTGAGAAAAGCATTCCAGGCAGGATAGACAGCATCGCGGCATTGGAGTACACAGTGTGTTTAGAGGATGGCAGCTGAGGGCAACCGAGGCTGGAACACAGGGAGCTCAGGGCAATGTGAAAGCAGAGCGGGAGAGGAGTCTGAGCTGCTCACTTCCTACTCAGCTTCTCAGGGCTTGACAGAGGTAACTTGTCAATGAACTTACTCTCTTTTTCTTTAGCAGCCCAGAGGGAACCTTCAGGCACAGGACACATCATCACTGCCCACGGTCATTATGAGAAACAAGCGTAAGTAGCTCAGCCCACCTCACAGAATTCCCTTTCTGGCTTTCTGGTTCTGAGTGTAAAAATGCTGTTGTAATATTCAGTTATTATTCATAGTCAAGATATGAATACCTATTTTGTGGTAATTGAGAGAAGGCTGCTGTTTTATCCTGCAGATTCCTTGACACATAACATTATACCATCAGACCCTCTTAGAAGGTTTCTAGAACAGTTTGTATATTAGCTTAAAGGCAGCACCTTTACCCTGTGTGTTTAAGCAAGTGACCCCTGTGCATCTCAATTTCCTCTTTAATAATAGTTGAGAATTAAAGACTTGTTTTTAGTGTCTTACAGTCATATGAATCAAATGAGACCTGGCTTGTTAAACTTTTTTTTTTTTTTTTTGAGACAGAGTCTAGCTCTGTGGCCCAGGCTGGAGTGCAGTGGCACAATCTCAGCTCACTGCAGCCTCCGTCTCCTGGGTTCTAGCAGTTCTCCTGCCTTAGCCTCCCAAGTAGCTGGGATTACAGGTGCCTGCCACCATGCCTGGCTAATTTTTTGTATTTTTAGTTGAGATGGGGTTTTGCTATGTTGGCCCTGCTGTGGTGGTCTTAAACTCCTGACCTCAGTTGATCCACCTGCCTCAGCCTCCCAAAGTGCTGGGATTACAGGCATGAGCCACTGTGCCCAGCCTAAACTTCTTTATAAACTGAGAAGTTACAGAAAATGCTTTTTTTTTTTTTTTTTTTTAAAAGGACCTCAAGTGTTAGAGTTGAGTAAATCACACTCTTTCATTCACTTCAAACTATTTTCACCAGTGCATGCAAGACTCTACTTTGGTTTCACTGATATTTTTCCCCTTTCATTCTCCATTCCCTATCTCATTCCCCCTGTGGTATATTTAATGTATGTCCTTCTAATCTGCCATATCTTTAGACATATGTATACTTTGAAAAAATATGTATTATTTGTTTATATTTAAATTAGATAATATGACTTATGCTTATATATTCTGCTTTTTTTTCACTCAGTATCATTTCGAGATATGCATGTTATTGTACGCTGTTGTTTCAGACTGTGGCATGGTATTCTTTTGTAAGCATATTTCGAATTTTAGTTATTAGTTCCCCTAGAAACAGAATATTTAAATTGCTTCCAGCTACTACCATAAATAATGCAGTGATTAATATCTTCTTAGCTGGCTCACGGGAGCCTCTGTGAGACTTTCCCCAAACGATGCTCTTGAAAATGAGCTTTTAGAAGTAGTGATTCTTGGGCCCCACCCTGATCTATGAATCACAAACTGTGGGATGGGGCCAGCACTGTGTGTTTTTTTGTGGTGTGTGGGAGTGTGTTTAATAGAGACAGTGTCTTGCTTTGTCACCCAGGCTGGAGTGCAGTGATGCAGTCATAGCTCACTGGAACCTCAAACTCCTGGGCTCAAGAGATCCTCTCACCTCAGCCTCCTGAGTGGCTGTCACTCCAGGTGTATACCACCGTACCTGGCTGATTCTTAAATTTTTTTGTAGAGGCAAGGTCTCACTACGTTACCCAGGCTGGTCTCAAACTCCTGACTTCAAGTAGTCCTCCTACCTTGGCCTCCCAAAATGCTGAGATAACAGGCATGAGCCACTGCACCCAGCCCAGACTGTGTTTTAATAGATCTCCAGATGATTCTGATGCCCACTCAAGCTTGAAAACCACTGCTTTATGCCAAATTTCTCTGAATACTTTCAGATAGCTCCTGAACGGCTGTACTAGTCTATATATCCCCAAGAGTGTGAATTCCCTTTAGACCTATTTAATCGATTTATAATCCATCTTTACATACAGATGCCTAGAAGAGGGGCTTCTCCAGGTTGATACTCACTTCAGTCTGTGATCTCACCCATTCCACATATTTTTATGTATGTCTAACTTCCTTAAATTTTTTCCTGTGACATTATCTGTTATTTCAGAAGTCTGATTTCTTGCTTATATTCATGTCTTTCTTAGAAACAAATGCCTATTATGTGCAAGGATCATGAGTATTACCTTTGACCCTCACAAATATTCTTTTTTTTTTTTTTTTTTGAGACTGAATCTCACTCTGTCGCCCAGGCTGGAGTGCAGTGGTGCGATCTCTGCTGCAACGTCCGCCTCCTGGGATCCAGCAGTTCTCCTGCCTCAGCCTCCCCAAGTAGCTAGGATTACATATGCCTGCCACCACACCCAGCTAATTTTTGTATTTGTAGTAGAGATGGGGTTTCACCATGTTGGCCAGGCCAGTCTTGAACTTTCGACCTCAAATGATCTGCCTGCCTTGGCCTTCCAAAGTTCCGGAATTATAGGCATGAGCCACTGCACCCGGCCCTCTCACAAATACCCTTATTTCTGTTGTACTCCACTGAGGCAACATAGTGGTGTGGAGTACAGATTGTAAATTTAAATTGTAAGGATTCAAGTCTGACACCACTACTTAATAGCTGTGTAACTGTGGACATTACCAAACCTCTCTGTGCCTCATTTTCTGCCTCTGTGAAAGGGGGATGATAATAGTATCATAGGGTGGTAGTCAGGTTTAAATCAGATCATACCTATAAAGTATTTAGTAGGCACTCCTTAAGTGTTAGCTTCCACTGCTCTCATCATCACAAATAAGGAAACAGCGATACTGAGTCACTTACTTGGGTAGAATATGGATTGACTTCAAATAAGGAGAGCTGTTATTTTCTTCACCCTCTGCTGGCTTTTAGATACGCGTTGTTATGAGCTCTGCCTAACATTGTTCTGCTTTTCCAACCTTTTCACTGATTCCTTCTGCCTGTTTCCTCTTCTACTCTGTGTCTCCCTTTTGCTTTAATACTGCATAATTGCTTCTGCCTTGATTCCCACAGTTCTTCTCATCAGAGCTGTCCTCTCTTTTCCTTCTGACCCATCCACATCCTTGCCATTCTTCAAGAACTAGTGTTTTCTTCCTCCATCAGATTTTATGTGCTCATTCAGGGTATGCTCCAGGCTCTTAAACTCTTAAGCTTATTCTCTTTTCTACTCATTTGCTCTTATTCTCTTGGGTGGGGTGGGGGCAGAGCGGTGGGACCCACATCCCATACTTGTGTATTTCCTGCAGTTAGAGTCTGGTGGGGTTTGTGCTATTTTACTGTGTCATCTTCTTCCAAATAGAGTTTGAATTGGAAATTAATGATTATATTAATGCTTATTGAGTCCAAGACATCCTGAAATACTGTGAAGTCATAACTACCATCCCAGTCTTATTTCCTTTACCTCTTGACGCTCCTGGGGAGGAACAGAGAATGCAGCCTGTGAACGGGACAGCAACTCAGTTACCAAGGAAAAATGTTACCAAGTGCCAGCGTGACCACTTTAGCAAATTAGGTCTCCAGTATCCTCTTTAGTCATGTTAATGAGAAATATGCACAATGAGAACTAATTAGATTTGACCCTTGAATAGGTATGCCAGCCCTGCCCCCATGCAGTCAAAAATCCACATAAATGTTTGACTCCCCGAGAATTTACCCACTAATAGCCTACTGTTGACCAGAAGCCTTACCAATAACGTAGTCAATTAATGCATTTTGTATGCTATGTGTTTTATATATTGTATTCTTACAGTAAATTAAGCAAAAAAAATGTATTTTAAAAATGAAAAGGAAGAGAAAATATGTTTACTATTTGTTTAAGTGGAAGTAGATAATCATAAAGGTCTTCATCCTTGTTGTTTTCACATTGAGTAGACCAAGAAGGAGGAAGAGGAAGAAAAGAGGGGCTGGTCTTGCTGTCTTGGGTGGCAAAGGCAGAAGAAATTCCACATGTAAGGGGATCTGTGTAGTTCAAACCATGTTGTTCAAGGGTCATCTGTAGTTATAGATGTTAAACAAGTGTTAAATTTTCCTCATCTATAAATGCATTTTGCTCATCTGTGCTCTCTAGCAGTGAGCAGAAGAATCATTTGAGCCTGTAAGATACATAGACTCTTGGGTTTCACCCATAGAAGACGAGGAGGGCTGAGATTTCATGTCTAACAAGCACTCCAGATGTTTTCATGATGAACAGTCCTAAAGAACGCTCCTCCCAGTTATCTCTAAGGTTCCTTTTACCCTTAAAATTCTTTCAATCTTATTTGAGTTTAAATATTAAAATACATAAAGCTTCCACAGGATTCTTTATCCCCATTGCCTATCCCACCCCAGAGGTAACCACTCTTCTTAGTTTATTCGTTTATTTTCCTGGAGTTCCCTTGTTAAAGTAAATACAACTTGGATTATTTTTCTTTCTTTCAAACATGAATGATAGCCTGTCATATACTTTGTTGTGCACTTTGATTTTCTGCCCCTTGATAGATCTTGGAGATATCTTGGAGATAGAGCCATCTGTGTCAGTACTTGGAAAGTGTCCTCATTTTTTTGTGGCATTGTATCCTGGTATGTGGTGTACTCTAACTTATTAACCAGTCTTCTTGTGATACTCGTGTCATTTCCAGTCTTCTGCTTTAACCAGTGGTGTTGCATTGAATAATGTTGGACATACATCATTTCATGAATATACAGGTATATCTTGTAAAATAAACATAGCCTAAAAGTGAAATTGCTGGATCAAAGAATATGGGCATTTACAATGTCAATAGTTATCACCAAACTATCCTCTGTGGAGTTTTTATACCAACTTACAGCTCCAAGGCAAATCTACTGTAAAGCGCCATACTTCTGTTTGGCTTTTGTCTGATGCGTCAGTACTAGGTGGGAATGGATGGATGATGCTTCAGTTAGTGTCCTCCCTTTGCAGCCTCACAGCCGAAGGAGCGTCCTCGGTCCGCAGTCCTCCTGGTGGATGAAACCACTACCACCCAGATATTTGCTAATAGACGGTCCCAGCAGAGTGTCTCGCTCTCCAAAAGTGTCTCCATACAGAACATTACTGGGTAAGTAGAGATATTTAAAGATAGCACAGTTGGCATCTAGGTGAAAAGAGCATAAGAATCACATCTTGACAAAAAGCGGTTTTTTTTTGTTTTTTTTTTTAAAGAAATCTGTAAAGTCATGAAGAGTGGTGCAGTCAAGGATGATGGGGATTACGTTTTTGATGCCTATCATGACAGTTATTCTGTCACAAGGTTCTCCTTTTAATACCATTAGCAGGCTGGTTTCTCTAGGCTTTTGTATGTCATCTGCCCTAGTTGTGAAGAATCTGAGTTCTGAAAAGATTATTTTTTAGATCAAAATAAGTAGGAATAGGAAAAATGATGATTTAATTCAGAATTTTTGGTTGCAACCACTTACATTTTCAGATGTCATGCTTTTCTGTTGATCATATAAACCTGGTTATTTTGTTTCTTCTTACCTCTGATTTACATCTTGGCCTCTTAACACTCAAGTCAGTTTTATGAAGGCAAATGCTGAACTAGTTATGACTATTAGGTTCCCACTCACTGGTTTGCACTGAGTTTCTTTTCTGGTCTCCTGCAGAGGTCTCAGCCATCAAGTGGTTAGCACGCGGCTGATGATGATGTTGCTGACTATTTTGGTTGAGATGCCTGCCTTCCCATCAGCTGAATAAGCCATTTCAAATGTAGGACTCAGAGTCTCTATAACCCAGCTTTGGGCAAACTTCCTAACTAAAGGATGCAAAAATCTCCTTTTGTTTGTATTTCCTAACCTCTGCTGGCTAATGTTTTTTTTCCTCCTTTAAAGGTTTCAGGTTATTTTTGTTTTGTTTTGTCTTTGTATTCTCATTATTTCCAAAAGTGTGCTTTTCAAAGTTACAACTTTACTAAAGTTTCTTGTAGTAACTTTCAAAAGTTGGTCTTTAAAGTGTTCTTGCTTTTGTGTCTACTCAAATTCCAATTGAGTGCCTGTGTGCTAGCTGGTGAGTTTGGATTGAGAAAGTCTGAAGAGAATATAGTTGATGGTAAGTGCTAGGTCTGTAGTTACTTAACGAACAGGGGGAAAAAAAGTACACTGGTTAGGCAATAAGTTTTAAGCAGAAAGTTTCTTATATAATGTGTACGTGGTTTGAGGGAAGAAAGTTCTCATTGCTTCTTACCACTCTTTAAAAAGGCTCAAGAAGTCCTCACAGTTTGAGTCTGCAGTGATACTAAATGCTTCCAGACTTTATTACCAGGCAGTGTGCATGTTGCTGTGGCCCCAACATAAGCCGTTTGTCTTCAATCACTGTAGTGATTCCAGCCAGCTGTCATTCTAGAGGCTTCAGGTACTCATTTAAGAATGTAGTCCCTTGGCCGCCCCGCAGGAGAGAGGCAGAGATGGCAGATGAGATCGCCAAGGCTCAGGTCGCTCGGCCTGGTGGCGACACAATCTTCGGGAAGATCATCCGCAAGGAAATCCCAGCCAAAATCATTTTTGAGGATGACCGGTGCCTTGCTTTCCACGACATTTCTCCTCAAGCACCTACACATTTTCTGGTGATACCCAAGAAACATATATCCCAGATTTCTGCAGCAGAAGATGATGATGAAAGTCTTCTTGGACACTTAATGATTGTTGGCAAGAAATGTGCTGCAGATCTGGGCCTGAATAAGGGTTACCGAATGGTAGTGAATGAAGGTTCAGATGGTGGACAGTCTGTCTATCACGTTCATCTCCATGTTCTTGGAGGTCGGCAGATGCATTGGCCTCCTGATTAAGCATGTTTTGGGGATAATCTTCCCTTCTCTAGGCAATGATTAAGTTAGGCAAGTTCCAGTATGTTAAGTGGCACACTTATTTTTGCCTGTGTATGGAGAGATTCAATAAATAATTTTCAAACCGGATACATAATAAAAGACATTGTTGCATGGTTAAAAAAAAAAAAAAAAAAGAATGTAAGGCATGGGTTATCAGAGTGTATTTGACTGTCTGTACTTTGTTTTGTCCCCAGAGTTGGCAATGATGAGAACATGTCAAACACCTGGAAATTCCTGTCTCATTCAACAGACTCACTAAATAAAATCAGCAAGGTCAATGAATCAACGGAATCACTTACTGATGAGGGTAAGAGGAAGTTATGGCTTACATTTTATACCATATAACTGTAGGGACTGTGTGTGCCTTTACCTAGACCATAAGTCTAAATGGAGTGATAGTGCCTCCCTCTTCTGTATCCTGTGAAGATTCTCTAAATTGGCTGTAGAGCGTCTAATGCTTTGTAATGACTAGATAATCAGACTCATCCAGTTGTTAACTTACAAGTGAAGGATGTCATTTATTTCAATGTGGGCATACTCTTTTTTTTTTTTTTTTTTTTATTGAGACAGAGTTTCGCTCTTGTTACCCAGGCTCTGGAGTACAATGGCGCGATCTCAGCTCACCGCAACCTCCACCTCCTGGGTTCAGGCAATTCTCCTGCCTCAGCCTCCTGAGTAGCTGGAATTACAGGCACACGCCACCATGCCCAGCTAATTTTTTGTATTTTTAGTAGAGACGGGGTTTCACCATATTGACCAGGATGGTCTCGATCTGTTGACCTCATGATCCACCCGCCTCGGCCTCCCAAAGTGCTGGGATTACAGGCGTGAGCCACCGCAGCTGGCTGGGCATACTTTAGTAGAAATCTTTTTTCTTCCCTTAGACTTTTGTACATGTACAGTTCTAGCTCTCAGAGCTATTGTAAGCCTGCTCTCTTAAATATGAAAAGGTACCAGGCCTCTTCCAATTCTTCATGTAGATAGGAGTCATGTCTTAATTATATATGATTTATGTGGTGTTTATTACTCTTAACCAAAGTCTCGAATGTAGTCTGTCACTCCTCAACAGGACATTGATTCTCTTCTGGTACTGGAATATATCTCTGTTATATCCCCTATATTCATGTGTCTTATGAAATCAACTATCATCTTGAGGCAATTCCAATATAAGCTTATTCTACAGGTCACAAACCCAAGATTCTGATACTGATTTTTTTTGCTATATTGAGGAGTAGGTACAGACATGAATGAAGGACAACTACTTGGGGACTTTGAGATGGACTCCAAACAGCTGGAAGCAGAGTCTTGGAGTCGGATAATAGACAGCAAGTTTCTAAAACAGCAAAAGAAAGATGTGGTCAAACGGCAAGAAGTGATTTATGGTGAGATTCTTCATTTTTCTCTGTTTATATTTGATTTGCATTGTCTAGCATTTTTAAAGTGGTAATTTGTTGGGCTATAGAAAATCAGTTTTGTAGTATGGGGCTTCTTGAAAAGATTTCCTTTGAAAAAGGCACAGAGACATAGTCCTGTTTGTATCCTATCTCCTTTTTGCCCATTCTTTTTTTCTGTTTCTACTGAACGTTGCACTTACATATGAGTGCTTATTTATACAGCAGTCCTAGAAAGAGATATCTCAGTTTTGTTCCTTACCTATGCTAAAAACTAAACACAAGTCGTTTCTGAGAACTGGGTATACAGGCAGTTATGACAGGTGCTGAATCCAGTGAAGACCTCTTTGGAAATCATTATTTAAGACTGATGGAATCCGGTGTACCTATTGTCAGAAAATAGGACACGTGAAAAATAGAGGAGTAAGATGAAAACACATGACCAGGCACAGTGACCCATACCTATAATCCCAACACTTTAGGATGCTGAGGCAGATGAATCACTTGAACCCAGAATTCAAGACCAGCCTGGGGACATATTAAAACCCTGTTCCTACCAAAATACAAAAATCAGCCAGGCGTGATGCCACTTACCTGCAGCCCCAGCTACTCAGGAGGTTGAAGCGGAAAGATTGCTTGAGCCCAGGAAGTCAAGGCTGCAGTGAGCTGTGACCACATCACTGCACTTCAGCCTGGGTGACAGAGCAAGACCCTGTCTCAAAAAGAACAACAAAAAAGATGAGAACACTTTTAGGGGAAAGATAGCGACCCAATTTTAACGTTCAAATTGGGCTCTAAATTAGCTTTGGGACTGCAGCAGATGATCTTAGAGGGAGAATCCTTATAAAAGAGTGTTCTTGACCCTTGATCTTTTTCCTCCTTTTAGAGTTGATGCAGACAGAGTTACATCACGTTCGCACTCTCAAGATCATGAGTGATGTGTACAGCCGGGGGATGATGACGGATCTGCTTTTTGAGCAGCAGATGGTAGAAAAGCTGTTCCCCTGTTTGGATGAGCTGATCGGTATCCATAGTCAATTCTTTCAGAGGATTCTGGAGCGGAAGAAGGAATCTCTGGTGGATGAAAGTGAAAAGAACTTTCTCATCAAGAGGATAGGGGATGTGCTTGTAAATCAGGTGAGAATGGGAGGATCTCAGATTCTTTTTATATACACTGGGAAAAAGGGAGGTTTGGGGAATCCATAGCCATGCATTCACATCTTGTTTCTACTGTTTATTATTTGTGTAAGCTCAGGGAAGTTATTTATCTTGAGCCTTGATTTCCTTTTCTGTAAAATTCAGACAGTACGGTTTCTCTCCTAATGTTATTTTAGAAAGTTAAAGGGAGTGTATATATAAAGTACCTAATGCATATGATAGATGCGCAGTAAAACTTAGTTTTTCTTCCTCAGAGTCTATGCCATCATCAGAAACAATATAGTTTTAAGAAATCAACAAATATGGCTGGGCGTGGTGGCTCATGTCTGTAATCCCAACACTTTGGGAGGCCAAAGCGGGCAGATCATCTGAGGTTAGGAGTTCAAGACCAGCCTGGCCAACATGATAAAACCCCATCTCTACTAAAAATAATCAAAAATTAGATGCATGTCATTATACCTGCATGCCAGGTACAGTGGCATACACCTGTAGTCTCAGATGCTCCGGACTCTGAGGCACAAGAATTGCTTGAATTTGGGAGGCAGAAGTTGCAATAAGCTGAGATCAGGCCACTGCACTCCAGTCCAGGAAAGAGTCTCAAAAAAATTGGGGCTGGGCACAGTGGCTAACACCTGTAATCCCAACACTTTGGGAGACCAAAGTGGGTGGATTACTTGAAGTCAGGTGTTCAAGACCAGCCTGGGCAACATAGCAAGACCTTTCTCAACAAAAAAAAAATGAGCCAGATGTGGTAGTATACACTTGTGGTCCCCACTACTCAGGAGCCTGAGGTGGGAAGATCACTTGACTCTAGGAGTTCAAAGTTGCAGCAAGCCATGGTGATTGTGCCACTGCACTCCAGCCTGGGCCCGGGAATTAGACCCCAACTCAAAATGTGTGTGTGTGTGTGTGTGTGTGTGTGTATAATTTACATAAATATACATATGTTAGAAATCTTCAACTTTCCCCTCTGCCTCAAATCAAAAGGATCTCATGTATCTAAATAGTAGCTGAAGCACAGAAAATTGAATAATTGTCTGTCTGTAAAATAATAAAATATGTATTATTAATAGTTTTATCAAGGGGTGGTATGGTTTTAGACATACTCCAAAAAAATTAAGCTAAAAGTTACTTTGTTACTTACAGATGTGATTGTCATAGACGTTAATGTTTCTTTTTAAAATATTCTTCTTGAAAACACTTTGCCAGTATAACCTTTCCAGGCAGAGGTGTATAACATGTACATCTAACTAGACCTTTTCCTCAAAGATGTAGATTCCCCAAAGATTTTGGGCAAATACCTGCTGCTGTGTAGAAGCAGAGGCTTAGTTGCTGGAACAGTTGTCTGAGAATTGTGTATATTGTCTTTCCTTGGTATTCTTCAGCCCATTCCCCTCACTTCATTAATTTATTAGCACATTCACACATTCCTTTTTCAGGTATTTACTGAGCATCTATTAAATGCCAGGTGGAAGTACAAAGGTAGATATGGCTTAGGCCTCTGCCTCAGGGAACTCCTATTCTAGGAGTAAAAGGAGGCATGTTATGAAATAAATGCAAATGCAGTGTGGCAAATGCTTGAACACAGATAGCTGCAACAGATAGAGCTCAAAAGGGAGACCTACAAAAGGTGGCCTTTCCTCCTGAAACATCACTCAGCATTTCCATTTCTCTCTTTCTGCCCCTCCTCTCTGTTTTCATGTAACTTTGACTTAGACTTCATCTAACTTAGTGTTTCATCAAACTTTGACTTGTATTACCATTTGAACCTCCTTGTACAGCCCCTGGTAAGATCTGTGGTGCTAGAATTCAGTTTACCCCATAGTGTCCATTTGCTGGTTCTGTGTGCCAGTCTCAGATCACCATCTGGGGCATTTGCTTTGTCATATGAACAGATAACTTACTGTCTGCCTCAGCTCCTCCACTGGTTAATGGTGAAGGGAAAAGGTACCTTGATCCTTCTTTCCAGCTTTTTGGTAAAGATCAATTTGTGTTGCCTCTGGAGGTTTTTAGTGGAAATAGAGATCAATGGCTTAGCATGTTTTTTATGAACCACATACAGAAATTCATTGATTTACCACAAAGTGAACATACCTTGCTATGAACCATTGAGATTGCACACATTTGGGAATGATTTAAGTGGCTTGTAGAATTATTAGAACTGCTGGCCCGAAGTAAGTAGTACAAACAGATCCCTAGATAATGATGGCAATTTATGATGTCTGACTTATCAAGATCAGATATGTCAGACTGCCTCATGAAAAACTCCTAGTGAATCTCATTATTTTATTACTCTGTTTATGACAAATAGAATACATTTTGTATTCCCTATGTGCACAGTATTGTAAAATTTCATTAATTTTTTGTTTTTCAAATCTGTATAACAGCTTCATTGAGATTTCATCCACATGCCATATAGTCTACGCATTTAAAGTTTAACCTCTTGAGTAACTGCTAGACTGCTTTCCAAAGCTGCCACACCATTTCAGTTTTTTGGGAGAAGTTAAGAGGAAGCACTCTGGACTTTCACATATAGACTGGAAACATTTTACAAAATGGTTTTATGTGTTTGGCGCCCCATGACATAGATTCTGTTCTCTTTTCTCTGCAGTTTTCAAGTGAGAATGCAGAACGTTTAAAGAAGACATACGGCAAATTTTGTGGGCAACATAACCAGTCTGTAAACTACTTCAAAGACCTTTATACCAAGGATAAGCGTTTTCAAGCCTTTGTAAAGGTATTGATATGAAACATGAAAATCCCCATCATCATCAACAGCACTGCGTCCTTGTCAGCTTTTACTAGAGAGCCTTTTTCATGTGATTCCTGACAGTCTGTGTATTTCCTTGCAGAAGAAGATGAGCAGTTCAGTTGTAAGGAGGCTTGGAATTCCAGAGTGCATATTGCTTGTAACTCAGCGGATTACCAAGTACCCAGTTTTATTCCAAAGAATATTGCAGTGTACCAAAGGTGAGTCTCCCTTTCTAGCTCAGTCTTGTATGGCAATGGACTGTTTCCTCTGTGGCCAGTAGCACTGGAGGCCCCATGAAAGAGCTATTTCATGCTGTAATAGTAGATCTTTTATGTAAAGAGACCTTGTGTTTTATCTTGAAAATAATTTTCTTGAATGAAAATTTGGACTGTTATGTTATCAGACCTAGGGTGGATGATAGCAAGAGGAAAAGGGACCCCATTGATTCCATCTGAAGTTCAATGACCTGAACACTCTTCCTTATTACTATGCTGGGAGATAACTTCTACCAGTTCTTCCCAGAAGCACTAGAATTGCTGCTGTTTTTCACTTAATCAGTAATTACTTGTTTCTCTCTCAGCTAATTCTGTTCTAAGCAGTTTTATTAAAGATTACAAGGCAGTACATTAAAGATTAAGTAAAACAAAGATATAAATAAAAACTTGGTTGTTCTTCCTGCTACTACTCTCCCACCTAGAAGTCTTTAGTTCCTTTTATTTTTAGAACACAGCATATGATTGCATATTATTTATATGATTGAAAACTTCTGACATCTTTTAGAATCAAACTTATGACAGCAAGAGGGTTAGGCATATGACTTCTGCCATGTTGGCTTCCCTCTGATCGCATAACCACAAAGGGAAAAGATGATGTGGAGTGAGAAGTCAAGATTCCCACCCTCTGCCTTTGTCCAAAAAGAGCCATAAAAAACAATTATTCTTTCCTTTCAAGATGATGAAGTGGAGCAAGAAGATCTAGCACAGTCCTTGAGCCTGGTGAAGGAGGTGATTGGAGCTGTAGACAGCAAAGTGGCAAGTTATGAAAAGAAAGTGCGTCTCAACGAGATTTATACAAAGACAGATAGCAAGTCGATCATGAGGATGAAGAGTGGACAGATGTTTGCCAAGGAAGATTTGAAACGGAAGAAACTCATACGTGATGGGAGTGTGTTTCTGAAGAGCGCAGCAGGAAGGCTGAAAGGTAAGGCTTGGCTCTTTTGTCTCAATGTGTGCCAGGTACAACAGGCAAAATCCAAGTGCTTTTGTTGGAAATTCACTTCCAGATTTTTTGCCAGAGAGCCCATCTCCAGACACCACCCAAGAGCAACAAGCATTTAATTCTTCACAGTCTTACATAAAAAATGTTTTGTGATGGCTTACAAAATCAGAGAAAATATAGTAAGATGACAAAGAAATGCAGTCAGGGAAAATGGAAAATAAGATTTAAAAGAAAGGAAAGGATAAGATTGGTGCACATATGCAAGTGGTCAAGGAAGGTGTATTCCCCTACAAGAGATGGACAGCCAGGTTGGAATTGGGGTCTACAGCAAAACTCACTAGGAGGGAGACACAGTCCATGACAGTTTCACAGAATCTGTATATTCAGAACACATCACTTGTTCACAAGAGATGTTAGAGGAATTTGCAGCTCCTGACACCTTACAGAAAGGTAAGTTTAACGCATATCAGTTAGGTTTATTATTATGCTTTATGATGGTTTTATATCTTTAAAGCAAAAGAAATCATAAAAGATGCCCATTTGCCATTTAGTTTTAATTTTTACTTTTCAAATGGTCAGCTATATCAAGTTAGTGAAGTTATGAGGCTTGTTTTCTAATTTATCTGTACACTGGATTTTTTTGTTTGTTTTCATCAAACCTATAATCCATGGGCCTATGTGTTACAGCAGTAGCCTTGAATTATACCCACCCCTTCACCCTGGCCTCAGTAAGCTGAGGATGTAGAAGCAGGCTAGCCCAGTGCTGTCAGCCTCCCTGGTGTAGAAAGAAGGTGGAGGAAATGTGTGCTGCTTTCATTTCTGAGCTGTAAGTGATGATGTAGGTAACTGCTGTCGGTGATACCCGTGCTTAGAACAAGTAGTAAAGAAGTTCCAGGAGATCAGCTGGTTTCAACAATGACTAAAGCAGGACATGCTACTTAGAAGTTGAAATCAAAATGAAGAGCCTTGGAAAGAGGTACCTGCTCTACAGTGGCAAGTGCTGGAATGGAGGAGAAAGCAAGAGGAATAGCAATAGGACAAGTCTTGAAGGATGATAAAGAGGGTACCTGGTACAGAAGGAGAAAGTGTTCCCCACAGTAAGGAAGAAAAAGCAGAAGCACAGAGTTGAAAGGATGTGGCATGTCCAGGGAAGAGTGGATGCCCAGGACTCACAGAGAGCTGAGTGGATGGCAGGGAGTGATGGGAAATCAGCCCGAAGAAATGGGGAGGGGCCAGGTTGTAATGAGGTGCATTCTCCAGACTGAGGCATTAACAGTTGATACTATTGATGAGGGAACGGGGCATAGAATGGGTTCAAAAAGAATAGCAAGCAGGAAAAGGAAAAGTGAGATGGTTTTTCAATATAATGACTAGGGGCAGTTCAGAGTCCAGAGAGACTGGTGACAGGTAAATCAGGAGGCTGTTGCAGTGCTTTGGGAAGAGCTCATCTGGGCCTGCATTGTAACAGAAGGCATGAAAAAGAAGGGCAGAAAAGATTGAGAGAAAGATGCCTCCTTTCCTACCACCAACTGGCTGTGTGTTTCATGGATCTGTGATGAACTAGGCTTCTTCCCTCCAGTCCTAATATTCTGTGATGTTCTGAGAGCCCTAGGTCTCTTTGAGACTTCTAAGCAGGCTGGCAGTTCAGAAATACCTGCCCTTTCTTGTAGGGGCCTGAATTTCCTAAAGCTGCTGCTGCCTGGAGCCAGCACTTTATTCTTTCCTTTGCCTGGCAATTAATTTTTTTCCCAAAATAAAAACTAATAGATTCCAGCTGTTGGAATAAAGTTGTGTTCAAGCCAGTGGCAGAATGACAGGTTTCTGGCCTTGAATGTCCAGTAGAGACAGGAGTTGGTGTTTAGTCATTTTCACCTCCAAGTGAACTCATGCCAAGAACAGCCAGTACTATGTTGGGTACTCTCTGAAAGGGGTGGGATTGTTTTTCTCTGATCCACTGACACTGATCATATAAACTTCAAGATTCAATGAAGTTAATTCTTGCTTTTTTTTTTTGGAGGGGGAGGGTGCAGGCACCTGAATTATTTAAAAGTAAGCTTAGAAACAAAAACCTTTTTTATAACTGATGGCAGTACACAGAAAATTAGTTTAGCCTGAAAAATTAGACCTCTGTAGGAATCAGATGTCCTTCCTTCTATTTTCTTCATAGCTTTGCAATGAATTCCACAGAAAAGGGATTCCAGTTGTGGCAGAGGTTAAAGAAAAGGTGAGGAGTGGACTGCATAACTCAGTTCCATCCTTTCCCAGGGATCTGTTGGCTTCACTCTCCACAGTGACGATGTTACATAGGGGCCAGCCTGCTAGCTTGAGGTAGACTCCACTCCAGAGATGTCAAACCATCCTTAGGAGAATAGTGGAAAATGTTACTTCCTACTCCTAGAGGATTAGTCAGAGCAAGAGTTTAAGTTGACTATAGCATATGGGAGCTGAGGGAAGAGCCCTATATTCACATATGCCTGTATGACTGGAAGGCGTCTGTGTGGCCACTCTTGCTCTTTTGCGGGTGTGGAAGACATCTTTTCATTAGACGTAGATATTGCTACACTTTTATCTTTGGGCAGCATTCCTGTCTCCTGCCTCACACCTTTCAGATTACCGTAATCAAAAGTTGAAAAATACTGCAACCTGAGGATTTTATGGAGTATGCTGCTATCTGTTGCTATTTAACATCTGTAGAAGTCCAGCTTTTCAGCTTTATTCTTAAAAGTATTTTAGTCTTAAATCTTGGCCTGTGGTGTATTTCTAGGACTGAGAACTTAAACTTTTCCAAAACAAGGCTTTGGTGATAAATCCCATTTTAAAATGCCTCTAAAAATCTGGTGACCAGATCTAATTCCTGGAGAACTGCAAAACTGTTGCTTTGGAGGACTGTGATCTCAGATCAGAGTTTGCCCTTATGGGGGTATATGTGTTGCTGAAACACCCTTCAATAAAAACCCTTCTGACTGTGGGTTACTATCAAGCAGTCATCATTCTATCTTCCTTTCTCCCATTTCCATTTTCCAGAGGTTCAAGCAGTTCTTCTCACTGACATTTTAGTTTTCCTTCAAGAAAAAGACCAGAAGTACATCTTTGCATCATTGGTAAGCTGAATTGTTATTTTTGTGATAGTATTCTCAGCAGCAAGGTTAGTTTTGGAATGTAAGCACTATATTATTGCTGTCCCTCCACCCCCACCTTAAAATTAAATGGATCAGACAGATTCCTCTGAGTAATTTCCCACATGCCCTCACAATTTTCTGGCATCCCATCCTCCCCAAAAAGTATTACTCTGTTTCATCACAGTCTTTTTCAGTGTCTTGGACATCTGATTATTTGACCTATGAAGAAAGCTGTTGCTGGAGTATTCTCACATTTGAGCCCATAAATGGTGCTAATGTATGATATTGCTGACTGAATTTTTTGGGGAATCTGGAAAGATTCATCATGTAAAAAACATGACTGGAACCTTTAGAGCCATAAATTACTATTACCCTTTTGAAAATCTTTCTTTGTTAAAAATCTGAATGAAATAAGGAGGTATTTCTCTTTATCCTAAAGCTGCCATTATTTTCAGGCTATGTGCTTAAATTATAATAGCATCTGGTCTTACCTTAGATTGAAGTTATCCTTAAGCGTTGGAATATTGTGGCTGGGCGCAGTGGCTCAAGCCTGTAATCCCAGCACTTTGGGAGGCCGAGGCGGGTGGATCACGAGGTCAAGAGATTGAGACCAACCATCCTGATCAACATGGTGAAACCCCGTCTCTACTAAAAATACAAAAAATTAGCTGGGCATGGTGGTGCGTGCCTGTAATCCCAGCTACTCAGGAGGCTGAGACAGGAGAACTGCCTGAACCCAGGAGGCAGAGGTTGCGGTGAGCCGAGATTGCACCATTGCACTCCAGGCTGGGTAACAAGAGCAAAACTCCGTCTCAGAAAAAGAAAAAAGAGTTAGAATATTGTATATGTATCTCATATTTGCCCTCTTCTCTTTTTCCAGGACCAGAAGTCAACAGTGATCTCTTTAAAGAAGCTGATTGTGAGAGAAGTGGCACACGAGGAGAAAGGTTTATTCCTGATCAGCATGGGGATGAAAGATCCAGAGATGGTGGAAGTCCATGCCAGCTCCAAAGAGGAACGAAACAGCTGGATTCAGATCATTCAAGACACAATCAACATGCTGTAAGTTAACCACCAGGCCACACCCTTCCCAGCCCTCCTGACATCTCTGTGTGATTTCATAATAGGCTGGACTGTGACCAGAGTAAGTGACATCTTAGGAACTTTTTGTTCTGTCTTGTTTGGGTTGTTTTAGGAACAGAGATGAAGATGAAGGAATTCCTAGTGAGAATGAAGAAGAAAAGAAAATGTTGGACACCAAAGCCCGAGAATTAAAAGGTGAGGCACTAGGAGTAGTTGGAGACCCTTGTCTGGAATGACTGCAGTTGCTGAAGAGTGCTGGTGGATCTTAGAGGTTCGGGCTTGCCCTCGGTTTGAAAGCTGCCCCAGAAGCCACTTGAAAGCAGAGAAATGAACAGCTGTTTAACAAAAGAGGAGCAAAATCCAGGCTGACATGGGTCCTGGTAAAGAATGGCTCTAGGGGTGTGTCAAATACTGGATCAAGAGAATATTAATTCTCTTGACTAAGGATCAGTGTTCATGAACCTCATGACATTATCTGTACTTTGTCATAGGAGAATTTGCCAGAATTTGTAGTCACATCTAAGATTAAAACAAGGAGAGAAAGGTATTTGGGGAAAAGAATGCTCTAGTTAATCTGATTTAATCCTCCTGCCAGTCCCTAGCGTTATCACTTATACACATATTCACAAATGAGTTGTGAGGTGAAGTTTTGGGAGAAGGGTACATGTTGATCTATATTTGATCCCTGTTGATTGAGTACTAATTGTTTTATGTAGTCTTGTCAGTATCCCTACAGCACAGGCATTCTAATCCCCATTGTGCAGATGAGACCCATAAAGGACAAGCAACCCAGGGTTACGTGTGTAGTTAGTGGCTAAGCCAAGATAATGTTCCCTGTCTTAGCAAAGCCTGGTGTTCTTTGCCAGTGGCTTATCAAATGTTTCAAAGACTGTGCTGTGGGTAGAAATAAGGCTTAGAGTTAAATAAATGTAAGCACCTAAGGAGTTTGGTTAGGCCTTAAGTCATACAAATGTTAGTATTCTATCTCACTAAAGGAGAAGAAATTAAAAATATGGACAGATTTAGTCCAGAGCCAGAGTTACAGAAAATTTGTTGGCCCATGATTAGGATGACAAGGATAAAAATCTTCCTGCTTTAAATAGCTGGCTAGGCATACTGCTAAGTTAACAGATGCAGAGATACCTTAAAAAGAGCCCTTGCCCTCAAGAAGCTCACACTCTAGCAAGGGAGACATACATAAATGATGGGCCACAAAATGGTTTATTGGACCACAGACAACATTCAGCATGTGTGGGATCTGCTTATCCTGCCTCTAGTAAGTCTCACAGGGAAGCTCTTGCATGAGCTATATCTGAAAAAAGCGATCTCAGTCCACAAGAGTAGTTATGTGCAAAGGTGAAAAAGGACTTGACATGTCTGCCAAGGAATGACAGGTTTGATGTGTCTGGAGGGTCAGGGCTGAGGGATGGGAGCTTAAGCTAGAAAAGCACCAGGTATTAAAAAGCAACAAGGAAATGATGTAACTTAAAAAAAAAAATGGCTTTTTTAACATGCTGAAGCCAGTTGGGAGAGTTGCTAGAGGGAATGGAAGCCACTGGAAGTAGAAAGACCGTTTGGAAGACAGTTAGGCTAGGCCAAGTGACAGTGAGCTGGAGAGGGAAGAGAAGTGAGTAAGAAGTAAGGTTATTAAAATCCGGTCCTTTGGGGCCGACTGCGGTGGCTAACACCTGCAATCCTAGCACTTTGGGAGGCCGAGGTGGACAGATCACCTGAAACTGGGAGTTTGAGACCAACCTGGCCAAAATGGAGAAACCTCGTCTCTACTAAAAATGCCAAATTAGCTGAGCATAGTGGCATGTGCCTATAATCCCAGCTACTTGGGAGGGTGAGGCAGGAGTCGCTTGAACCAGGGAAGTAGAGATTGGTAATGAGTCGAGATCACGCCATTGCACTCTAGCCTGGGCAACAAGAGCAAAACTTTTGTCTCAAGAAAAAAAATATGTAAGACAGCTCAGGATGGAGCTGAGACAGGAGCCCAGATAAGAGTTTCTGTTGCAGATGCCAGATCTGTAAAGTGCCCTAAGAAAGAATGGTAGGAAGAAAACTGGTGTCTTAAAAGTAAAAGAGGGAAACATTTTTTAAAGGAAGAAGTAATCATCAATGTTGGGAAAAAAACCTAAAAGATCTCATTGGATTCAGTCATGAAGTTGAGCTGGGAAAGAGCAGTTGCAGAATGGGCAGAAGCTAGAGAGTAGTGGGCTGAGAAGTAAACAGGACAAGGGAGAGGAAGCAAAGTGCGGACTTGTTATGTCACAATTTCCATGGTTCGCCAAAAAAGATCCAGAATGGTTTCTAGATAGAAATTCCAGAACAGAAACGATATTACTGTCATGGTGAAAAGAAAGGGCAGTGGGTAGGGGGTAGGGAGGGTGTCCTATCTTGTCCCTTTCTGTAAGTTACCACAAGGTGGTGCTCGTGTCTTACTCATCTTGTAGTACTAAACCAATCAAATCACAGATCATTTTCTCCATCCTGCAGAACAACTTCAACAGAAGGACCAACAAATCCTACTCTTGTTGGAGGAGAAGGAGATGATTTTCCGGGACATGGCTGAGTGCAGCACTCCCTTGCCAGAGGATTGCTCCCCAAAGCATAGCCCTAGAGTTCTCTTCCGCTCCCACACAGAAGAGGCTCTCAAAGGAGGACCTTTAATGAAGAGTGCAATAAATGAAGGTAATTAATATTCAGCATTGCCCCACTTCATCCCCTCCCAAAGTGGTTTTCACACTAATATTACCTGTCAGTTTTTACTTTTTTGCTTTAAAATAAAGCACAAATGCAGAAAATTACCCATACCAAGTATTTCACTGTAGTAAATTATTATCAGGTGAATAACTTTTTAACCACTGCCCACATCAAGAAATTAATGTGCCATACACCCTGAAGCCCCTCCCTCCATGTGCCCTGTCCCATCACAGGTCCCTCCCTCCAAAATGAGCAGTTATTCTAACTTTTTTAAATTAATCACTTATAGTTCTCATTTTTTTTTTGAGACAGGATCTTGCTACTCTACTGCCCAGTCTGGAATGCAGTGGTGTGATCTTGGCTCACTGCAGCCTCCACCTCCTGAGTTCAAGTGGTTCTCCTGCCTCAGCCTCCCAAGCAGCTGGGATTACAGGTGTGCACCACCACACCCAGCTAATTTTTGTATTTTTCATAGAGATGGGTTTTCACCATGTTGGTCAGGCTGGTCTCCAACTCCAGACCTCAAGTGATCCACCCACCTCGGCCTCCCAAAGTGCTGGGATTACAGGCATGAGCCACCACACCCAGCCTGCTTATGTTTTTTATATGCATCTTAAAATTCTTTTGTGTGTGTGTGTGTTGGGAATTTCACTCTCATTGCCCAGGCTGGAGTGCAATGGTGCAATGTTGGCTCACTGTAACCTCCACCTCCCAGGTTCAAGCCATTCTCCTGCCTCAGCCTCCCAAGTATCTGGGAGTACAGGCACCTGCTACCATGCTCGGCTAATTTTTTATATTTTTAGTAGAAACAGCATTTCACTCTGTTGGCCAGGCTGGTCTTGAACTCCTAATCTGCCCGCTTTGGCCTCCCAAAGTGCTGGGATTACAGGTGTGAGCCACAGCTCCCGGCTACCCAAAGGATTTTTTTTTTCTAAGTACAAGTAGTTTTAAAGAATATTCCTTGGTTTTTGTTACCCTAGGTTGATGCTCTCAGGTTCACAGTGTTCTGTTTTCATAGGTGGTTAGAAATTTTTCAGATTTCAGGAAGTTATTCTTGAATTACAATTTGTAGTATTTTCCCTGTTGCCTTTGCTTTGGTTTTCTTCAAGAACTACATTTATCCTTATGTTGGACCTAGTCTGTCTTCAGTATTTGTCACTTTCTTTTAATACTTTTGATCTCTTCGCCTTTTTAATGTTTAAATGGTCTTCCTTTCACCTGCCTTTTTTTTTTTTTTTTTTTTTTTTTGAGATGGAGTTTCACTCTTGTTACCCAGGGCTGGAGTGCAATGGCACGACCTTGGCTCAATGCAACCTCCGCCTCCTGGGTTCAGGCTATTCTCCTGCCTCAGCCTCCTGAGTAGCTGGGATTACAGGCACATGCCACCATGCCCAGCTAATTTTTTTGTATTTTTAGTAGAGATGGGGTTTCACCATGTTGACCAGGATGGTCTCGATATCTTGACCTCGTGATCCACCCACCTCGGCCTCCCAAAGTGCTGGGATTACAGGCTTGAGCCACCATGCCCGGCCATCACCTGCTTTTTTCTTAAATCATTTGCTCCTGGGTTAATTTGCTCTTATATTCTAGTTTAGTTTTCATTTCTATAACGATGTGTTTTTCTTTTGAATGTAGTTTTACCATTTTGTTTCTATGTTTTCTAATTCTGACTTAAGTTCTTTCATGTCTTTTGTCATTTTCTTAATGTGTTTTGCTCACTTAGTTTATGGACATGTTTTTTCTGATGTGCTTTTATTATCTGTAGAGAAGTTAGACCCTGTGTTCTCTCCACCATCACTCCCTGTTCTTAACTTTTTATGGGATTTGACTTCAGTATTTTCTATTTCTCATTTTTATGTGAAATTAGTGTCTTAAGTTTATAGGTTCAGATAGCTTTTCTCACACCGTAGGACTCGTCTATCATTTTTGTGTGGTTTTTCTTTTTTAATATGGCTTGTTTTAATCAGATTTCCTGCTGTTGGTCCCCTCCTTTGTTGCAACTGGCCCTTCTTTATCTCTTTTCTTTTCTCCCGCTCAACTTTTATTTCTTTTTCTCCACTTTCTTCTTTCTGTGAGCCACACCCTAGAAAAGAACCCTAGTGGGCCAGAGTTGAGACGCAAATTCTTAGGCTACTCTAGCCCCTTGAACTCACTTCATATTGACAAAGGCAAAAACCCTGACTTCTTACTTGCTGTTCTGAATCAGTTCATCTTACTTTTCAGTGAATATCTTCTGACTGCTTTGGATATGATTCCAGAAGCCATGCCACTTCCAGCAAATTACCCTGCCTTTCCTGTACACTTTGAAACTTCCTAGGTCTCTTGTATACAAAGTGGAAGGTCTCATCTCTAAATTTCTAGTAGAATCCAACTAAAATACATACCCCAAACTGAAACCTTTCTGAGCAAAGGAACTCACCCAGTCACTTATTGGAACTTTTCAGTCATGTTCTTTGTACATATCATGTATACTATGAACTTATTTTTTCCTCATTAAAGATGTCAGTTTTGCGTGTTTCTTTTTTTCCAGTGGAGATCCTTCAAGGTTTGGTGAGTGGAAGTCTAGGAGGCACACTTGGGCAGACTGTCAGCAGCCCAGTTGAGCAAGAAGGTGTGGTTGGTCCTGTTTCCCTGCCCCGGAGAGCAGAGACCTTTGGAGGATTTGACAGCCATCAGATGAATGCTTCAAAAGGTAAATGATGTGGATGTGAAGTCATGAGCTTTTATAGGCAACCTTGACTGTCCCACACAACTAAAAATGACTTGTATTTTATTAGCTACATCTCCACTTCCATTCAATCAGTAAATTTCTTAGTGAGATCTTAAGATACTCATTATGAGTCTGTCAGACTAATATTCATTTTGAGTAACAAAAAAGATTTTCTTAAGATCTTAGCTAAAAGAGTAGTAATACTTGTTCCTGCTTTCAGTTCTTCTGCATCAGTAAAATTATTAATAATCACTTAGCTGCCACCAAGCAGCTCCCCCTTTTTGGGGCCATCAGTAGAATTCAGAAATACTACATCCCTAAGATACCTATATTGTGTTCTTTCCTCTGCTAGTCTGTTTCACAGCTTAAAAAAAATAACCTATTTTTTGTTTAGGAGGCGAGAAGGAAGAAGGAGATGATGGCCAAGATCTTAGGAGAACGGAATCAGATAGTGGCCTTAAAAAGGTATTTCTCTTTAAAACATCCTAGGACCCTCCTTGGCATTTCCCTCTGAATTCATAACCTTTGATATTATTTCACTTTGATCTTGTTTTGGATGCCTGAATTGCTGCTTTTGATAAAATTATTTTCAGGGAAAAATCACATTTTTAAAACTAATAGTACAGTTAAGAGCCCCACATTATTGGCTGTTTGGCCTCACTGGCTTAGCAGTGTGTTTACATTCATAACTCTGCCATGGTCCTGGCAGGACCAGTTTCACTAGATTTGTTTCAGATGCTCCAAACCAACCTGACCTCTTGACATCAGTGATAAACAGTTCAACCTTAAATTTTCTCTGCCTTATGAGAGGCTGTGGTAGAAGAGAAAGAAGATGGAAAACTACAGCCTAACACAGAAACATATTGAATGTTATTTTTGCATCAAGATCTTCATTTTTTTATATGCATGTTTTTTGTTTCCTAGGGTGGAAATGGTAACCTGGTGTTTATGCTTAAAAGAAACAGTGAGGTAAGGACATTATGAGCTGTTTAAGAAAATATATATTGGTTCTCAATGTCAGGTGAGGAATATTCTTTTTTCCTTTTTTTTTTCTTGGCTGTTACAAAGATGCTAACTCCTGGCTGTAATCTGTACATGTAAAGGATACAGTTGTCAGTTTCCTTGACCCTTCCCTTTTCTTTGGTCCCAGGGCAGCACCTTGGAATTTTGCCAGTTAGAGAATTGCCTACTAAGATCTAAGATGGCTTCTGATCCTCTGTCCTTAAGGAAGCCTCTTGCTTTCTTGCTTTTTTTTTGAGATGGGGTCTCACTCTGTCACCCAGACTAGAGTGTGGTGGCACAACTTCAGCTCACTGCAACCTTTACCTCCCAGGCTCAAGCAGTCCTCCAGAGTAACTGGGACTATAGGCATGCATGTCACCATGCCCAACTAATTTTTGTATTTTATATAGAGACGGGGTTTCGCCATGTTGCCCAGGCTGGTCTCAAACTCCTTGACACAAGCCGTCCACCTGCCTCAGCCTCCCAAAGTGCTGGTGCTGGGATGACAGATGTGAGCCATACCTGGCCACTTCTTGCTTTTAGTCAGCTTTCTCTATTTAGAGAGAGCCCCCCTGTGAATCCTTCTTGGCGGTTTCCTTTGGTCTAAGCACACTGAGTAGAATTCATGGCAGCTTCTTCTCTATCACAAACCTGATACCAAAAGCCATAGATCTGGAACATGGGCATTTAACTTGTGGGTAATTTGACAAAGTAATTGCTTATCCTTCAAGTACTCAAGTTATTTCTTCTTTTTCTTGTTTTGAGACAGAGCTTTTTGCTTTTGTTGCCCAGGCTGGAGTGCAGTGGCACGATCTTGGCTTACCACAATATCTGCCTTCTGGGCTCAAGTGATTTTCCTGCCTTGGCTTCCCGAGTAGCTGGGATTACAGGCACGTGCCACCACGTCTAGCTAATTTTTGCATTTTTAGTAGAGATGAGGTTTCTCCATGTTGGTCAGGTTGATCTTGAACTCCCGACCTCAGGTGATCTGCCTGTCTCAGCCTCCCAAAGTGCTGGTATTACAGGCATGAGCCACCATGCCCGGCCGTATCATCTTCTTTGAGTATTGCTTTAGATTTAATATGTGTTTTCATGTGTGAAGTAGTGTTGGTATCCTTCTAGAAGGATGGCCATTCCCCGCCCCGCAATGACTCCATGTTGTGACATAAGTTTTCAGATTACTGCCATCTCCAAAATTAATTCTGAGTATTTTACTTTTTAAGCAAACTAGAATCCGGGTATACTTCTCAAGGATGTTGATTGTGTTTCTTCTTTTTCTTGTTCTTGCTTTTAGCATAGTATCTTAAATCTCCAGGGAACTTCATTTTGAAATTTTAAGGGGAATCTTTTTTCCTCTAAAATACAGAAGGATATATTTTATATTTGTTGCCATAAAACTCTAAATACAGTGGCACCCTGAAGGAATCCTTCAGTGTGCTTATCTTTAAATGATAAGCCTGAGCTTATGGAAGCTGCTTGCGTGAGCCACTGCACCCAGCCTTGATTTTTCTTTATGGCCACTTTCCCCCCTATATTTAATGAGAGGAATCAGGGTAAGAAAATAGTACAAGACCTGTTTGTTTCTCAGACATTCCAGTATGGATTGGACACCATAAATGCTTAGCTAGAGTCAGCAGTTTCTTCCGTTGCTTCTCTCTGTTTATTAAGAATAAAATAAGGGCGGATGCTGGGCGTGGTGGCTTACACCTGTAATCCCAGTGCTTTGGGAGGCCAAAAGTGGGTGGATCACCTGAGTTCAGGAGTTCAAGACCAGGCTGGCCAACATCGTGAAACTCAGTCTCTACTAAAAATACAGAAAATTAGCCAGACATGGTAGTGGACGCCTGTAATCCTAGCTACTAAGGAGGCTGAGGCAGGAGAATTGCTTGAACCCAGGAGGCAGAGATTGCAGTGCTGAGATTGTGCCACTGCACTCCAGCCTGGGCAACAAGAGCAAAACTCAATCTCAAAAAAAAAAAAAAAAAATAGGGGGTAAAAAATTTTCTCAGAAGAGCTAAGTCTGGTAATTAATATTTTTGTGTTTTGTTTTTAAATGATTTAAGTATTATAAAAGGAATACATGTTCATGATAGTTAAATGTTTGGTGTTTATATTTCCAGCCTTGTGCATAACATATCTGAGTTATATATGTGTGAATAGTATAAAAATAGTTTAGCAGGGTATGGTGGCTCATGACTCTAATCCCAGCACTTTGAGAGACCGAGGTAGGCGGATCACCTGAGATCTGGAGTTCAAGAGCAGCCTGGCCAACATGGTGAAACCCCATCTCTACTAAAAATACAAAAAATTAGCTGGGTGTGGTGGCGCACACCTATAATTCCAGCTACTCGGGAGGCTGAGGCAGGAGAATCACTTGAACTTGGGAGGCAGAAGTTGCAGTGAGCAGAGATCACACCACTGCACTACAGCCTGGGCAACAAGAGTAAAACTCCATCTCAAAAAAAAAAAAAATAATAGTTTTACATAGTTTGTATCAGTTCTTCCTAGAGCTTCATATCTTGCTTTTTTCCCTCTTAATATGCATTAAAAGTATTTCCCCAAGGCATATTTTTACAAAGCATGCTGTTGCATAGCATTATATTATTGTAAACCATAGTTTACTTAATCTTTCTGAGAGTTAACTGTTTTTTCTACTTTTGCTTTTAAAGCAGTGAGCCAAGAACATCTTTGTACATGCCTTGCTTTTTGCAAAGCTCTTTGATTATTTCCTGAACATGCCAAATTGCTATTGAAAGGAGGTTATGTAGTGCTTGGCCCTACTCATCAGACATACATGTAGAAGTGGCCATTTTCATCTTTTACCAACACTGAGTGTTATTTTTATTAAGTTTTTATTAGTTTGATAAGTTTGGGTCATTTATTTTATTTTGCAGTTATTTGATTTCAAATTAGGTTGAGTCATTTTAATATGTTATGCTTATTGGCCATTTGTATTTCTTCTGTAAATTGCTAGTTTGTGTTCCTGGCTTAATTTTTACTAGGGTATTTTTTTTTCAATAATGTTCTGTGAGAGCCTTTTTTAAATCAAAGATTTTTCCATCTGAATTTCTATTTGTTCATTCTTTGCCTTTTAATTTTAATTTTACTTTTTTACATAAAATTTTTGAAAAAAAAAATTGTGTGGTTTCCTCTGTGTTTGCAAAGCCTTCCCTGTTTTAAGATTAGAAAACGTTCTGTTTCCTTCAGCTCTTTTTTGTTTGTTTGTTTTTTGTAAATAGGACCTCGCTGTCTTGCCCTGGCCAGATAGATATGAATGCGGTTTTTTTTTTTACCTTTAATATTTTCAGATATTTGAACCTTTTTTTTTTTAATGTGAGCTGAGGTCTCAAGTTTTTTCAGAAATTTAGCCAATTTTCTCAGAACAATTAATTGAATATTCTTTCCTTTCCATTGATTTGAAATGCTACTCATATGCTAAATTGTTAGTGGGTAGTTTCTGGAATTTCTGTTCTGTTGCATTGATATGTATGCTGTTTGTATTCTAGACATTTTAAATAATGGAAGCTTTCTTACACGTTTTAACTTGTGCTGGTATTCCTCCTACACATAGGTCACTTGGTTTGGTCTTTTGTTTTTCTTGGCTGCTGGTACTCACTTACTTTCTTTGATGCTTTCAATATGAAAATATTACATAAAGATACAGGCATTTAGTTGTATCTTACAGCGGCCATCTTACCAGATAAACATTAGTGTGATGGATTCTGAGATTCATAAAGTCCTGAAATGAATATTTCCATTTTGTTCCTTTGGCAGCAGGTTGTCCAGAGCATTGTTCATCTCCACGAGCTCCTCAGCACTCTGCAGGTGTGTGGCTGCGTCTTCCAGCCCTGCATGGATTTGTGTAGAGGACAGCAGCATGGGGCTGCTGTTGACTTGGATCTTTGAGGTTTGGAGGCTGTTTATGGGTAAATGGCGCCCTCAGTCTAGAGAAGACTGGCTCTCATGGTGAGAAAGTTACAGAATGCAGTGGGTAGAGTATCATCGACCTTCCAAGAGTAGAATTAGCGAAGAGCTGGTGGGCCTTAGGCATGGTTTGATAACCTTGCTACAAAGCACATCATGTGCTAACATGCATTTGGAATATGATTTCACTTTAGAAAGCCATTAGTATAAGTTTGTATATTTTGTGTCTCTGTGTGGTGTTTGAGTAGAGTGTGGCCTTCCTAAAACAATCACTATTTGAGACTTCCCAGGAACATCCTCAAATTCTCCCTTCCTTTCTGGAAGATCTAACCTATCTCAATCCTACTTTCTCCCATTTCCAACACACACACACACACACACACACACCTGCCCCCCCACACACACACCACGCACCTGCCACACACATACCACGCACACATACCACACACTCATACACACAACTCCAGGTAATACCAGTGACTGCAAACAGCATTCAAAACCAGATTTGACAAAAACCTGTAAGTTCCTGCACCTTTGATGTTTCTGTATGCTAACTGCCTGCAGTTATCCTGGAGCATTTTTATTAGATGGGCTTGAAAAGTGAGGGGAGAGTCCCGGTCCATCATAGTGCCTGGGGTCCCCTGCTGTGGGGTCAGGAGGGATCCAGAAGTTGGCTGTCCCCCTGGCCAGAGTTGCAGGGCTCTCCTCTGTGTGCCTCCTCAGGGTGTGGTGCTGCAGCAGGACAGCTACATTGAGGACCAGAAGCTGGTGCTGAGCGAGAGGGCTCTCACCCGAAGCTTGTCCCGCCCGAGCTCCCTCGTTGAGCAGGAGAAGCAGCGCAGCCTGGAGAAGCAACGCCAGGACCTGGCCAACCTGCAGAAGCAGCAAGCCCAGTACCTTGAGGAGAAGCGCAGGCGTGAGCGCGAGTGGGAAGCTCGTGAGAGGGAGCTTCGGGAGCGGGAAGCCCTGCTGGCCCAGCGCGAGGAGAAGGTGCAGCAGGGGCAGCAGGACCTGGAAAAGGAGCGGGAGGAGCTCCAGCAGAAGAAGGGCACATACCAATATGACCTGGAGCGACTGCGTGCTGCCCAGAAACAGCTCGAGAGGGAGCAGGAGCAGCTGCACCGGGAGGCAGAGCGGCTCGGCCAGAGGCAGGCGGAACGGGACCTGTGTCAGGTAATGGGACTCACTGCCAAAGGCAATCTAATGATGATACTGATTTAAGACCCCTGTGTATTAAGCACCCTAAGAAAGTGAGCAGAAATATAGAGCCTGTTTTTGGCCAGGTTCAGTAACTCATACCTGTGATCCCAGCACTTTAGGAGGCTGAGGTGGGAGGTTAACTTGAGACCAGCCTTGGGCAACACAGGGAGACTCTGTCTCCGGGGGAAAAAAAACAAACCTGTTTTTAAGAATCTTTTTTAGCTGGGCATGGTGCCTCACGCCTGTAATCTCAGCACTTTGTGAGGCCGAGGCAGACGGATCACTTGAGGCCAGGAGTTTGAGACCAGCCTGGTCAACATGGCAAAACTTCATCTCTACTAAAAATACAAAAATTAGCTGTAATCCCAGGTACTCGCAAGTCTGAGGCAGGAGCATCGCTTGAACCTGGGAGGTGGGGGTTGCAGTGAGCTGAGATTGTGCCGCTGCTCTCCAGCCTAGGTGACAGAGTGAGACTATGTCTCAAAAAAAAAAAAAAAAAAAAAAAAAAGAATCTTTGTTTAACCCTGAAAGAGAGGCAGATGAAGAAAGTCTTTTTCTGCTTTTCGCATCTCTTAAGAGGCTTAAGAGGAGAATGGAAATGCTGGGGTGTTGTGGCCAGGGCCGTGGTGGATATTTGGAGCTGGCACTTCCCCCGGCTAGAGGAGCCTCAGTGTATCTGAGAAAATGGCAGTCAGCCACCAGGATTTTAGGAGCAGCCCCACTGCTCTGTGCCTCATGAGAAATGAGGCATGGCCCCACCCTGAAGGAACTTGTAGCTTAATGGAGAAGCACAGCAAGAATCAAAGAGCCCCAGAACACATGGTGCCTATGGTTATGAGCCAGCAGGAAGTGGCTCTCATGCCAGAGTCGCTGAAATAGCCCATGTGGTAGGATTGGTGGGAGTCAGTTACAGAGGGAAGCACCCATTCCAGCAAGTAGGGGAGGAGCCACTCCTCTTGTGGACAGATGATGATACTCTTGCTTGGGTATATTGAGAAAGCTGAGCTCTGCATAGTTCCCAATTTGCCTCTCTACTGCTGATGAAGCCTTCCTTATCTCTGTAGCTGCTGTTGATACAGAAAGGCTTTCAGTTACTCAGCACACTCACTCCTGAGTTTATTTCCGTGATATTCCTTGGTTATTCAGAAACATGGATGCTTGTGGCAGATGGAGAGCCCTGGTGTACACAGATCTGCCCATGTTTTGAAATGCATATCATGTTGCCATTTGTTTGACTGATTGACCTCGGACCATGAAAGAAAAGTATACCGACATCTTCCAGAGTAGGGGGCAGGTGTAGCTTTCTGCAGAGGCTGCCAAATATATGGTGGGGAGCAGCAAATGCCATGTGTTGCTTTTTATGACATAAGGATGGATTCTACCCCCCTCCCAATGAAATCATTAGTGCTTTGACAAAGGAAGGTTCCCACGCAACTAAGAGAAACTAGATTAGATGATCCTCTTGATCTTTGTTTAACCTTTGACTAGGATTCTTGGTGTCAGCTCTGCTTTTCCACTTATCCTCCAGCCTATACAGGCTTCTGTAGTCTCTTTGCCCTAAAATAATTATCTGCATTTCTGTGTAGAGCAGTCTTAAGCAGCTCTCCTTATTTCTTCAGAGAATGGGAATTCTTTTCTAAGTCACCCCATCAAAGGTACTATCGGTTTTTTATGACACCAGCGTTTATGTTTGTATTAACGGTATTGAAGTCGGTATTTTTAACATATTTATAGATGTTACTTGGGGGAGGGCAGCTAATGAAAGTGAGAAGTTCGGAACCTTTGAACTCTATGCAGTCTGCAGAAATGATCTCTGTAGAGTTGACAGAGGCGGGTAAGCACCCAGCCAGCACACCCAGTTGAATCAGCCAGGATTTATTGAATGGACACCAGGGGCGCCAACGGTCTCCAAGTGAAAACCCCTTCTCTTGAATATATACAGGTTTCCCATCCACATACCAAGCTGATGAGGATCCCGTCGTTCTTCCCCAGTGCTGAGGAGCCTCCCTTGCCGTCTGCACCATCCATAGCCAAATCAGGGTCATTGGACTCAGAACTTTCAGTGTCCCCAAAAAGGAACAGCATCTCTTGGACACACAAAGATAAGGGGCCTTTTCACATACTGAGCTCAACTAGTCAGACAAACAAAGGATCAGAAGGACAGAGCCAGGCCCCTGCACCCACCTCTGCCTCTACCCGCCTGTTTGGATTAGCTAAGCCAAAGGAAAAGAAGGAGAAAAAAAAGAAGAACAAAACCAGCCGCTCTCAGCCTGGTGGTGAGTCACCCACACCTGCTCTCCCTGTGGCCACAGTATCTCTGCATTCTAACAGAAGGCAGATTTTAGTGGCACAGGCGGGGTTGAAAAGGGTACAGTTCAGATGCGCAGAAACCAAGCTGCCATCCTTCTCACCAGCTCCACTTGCTAAGAGTATTCATCAGAGAGCATTAACGCACTCTGGCCGGGGGCGGTGGCTCACACCTGTAATCCCAGCACTTTGGGAGGCCCAGGTGGGCAGATCATGAGGTCAGGAGTTCAAGACAGCCTGGCCGATACGGTGAAACCCCGTCTCTACTACAAATACAAAAATTAGCTGGGCGTGGTGTTATGGGCCTGCAGACCCAGCTACTTGGGAGTCTGAGGCAGGAGAATCCCTTGAACCTGGGAAGTGGAGGTTGTAGTGAGTGGAGATTAAGCCACTGCACTCCAGCCTAGGGGACAGAGCGAGACTGGTCTCAAAAAAAAACAAAACTCCATTCTGTGTGGCACATGTGCAAAAGCAGAGAGCTTGGGTTTCATTTTCGAGGCATTATCCTATTGAGGAACTGGAGCTCACCTCTAAATGAAGTTATTCAAGCCCTCCTGGCTTTTCTTGGCCTAGATAGTCATTGATAACAGCTAGCGCTTGGTGCTTTAACCCTCACATGACTGTATGAAGTTGGCGCTGCTAACCCCAAGAGAAATGAGGAAACTGAAGCTCACAGAGGTTAACTAACATGCCAGTGGCCACAGAGCCGGTGGTTGAATTACACTAGATGCCCCCCCCCATTCATGTGCCACTTTCCCCCAAACCCTTCTCTTTAGGATTGATCTCTCCTTTCTATGTGGGAGGTTAAAGAAAAAAATTTACATTTTTCAGGCCTCTTTATAAATTCTAGTGCTTATGTCAAAGTTAAAGGGCGCATTAGACAGGGAAGGACAGCACTAAGAACCTTGTTAACCAAATTCCTTCAGAAACCCCAGTATGCAGAAACGTAATTGCCCACAAGCCCCCGTCACCTGTTTGCATTACAGAAGACTTTGGGTTGGGGAGGAAGTTCAATGAAAGGAGCAGTTTTTCTTCATTATTCTTTTTCACTTTTTCAGATGGTCCCACATCAGAAGTATCAGCAGAGGGTGAAGAGATCTTCTGCTGACCCTCCTCTCTGCTGAGGCAGCTGCCTCCTGGTCCTGGCCAGCCCACCTCTCCTGCTGTCCCCACATGCACAAGTCTCTTACACTGGACGCCCACTGCTCCTCAGCGTCCAGTCCTCCTGGGCGGCCCCAGGTCCTGGACAAGAAGGAACAGATGATCTGAGTGTCAGGGTGGGGAAGGAGGCCCAGACTCTGCTGTGGCTGTGATTTGTGACTGCCCAGGACTCTCAGGTTGGGCTGGCCCCACTCAGGATTACACTGAAAGTAGTGGCTCGTAAGTACAGGTGATGGTTTTGGACACGTCAGGAATTTCTAAAGACTGAAAGAGCATTTCCAAGTAAGGTCTGGAACTCTGCCTGCCGTTAATTTGGGGGAACACAAAACCAAAGAGCAGATGTCCCAGACTTGACCTGTGTACACACCCGGGGACCTGTCTGCATACACATGTGGGGAATGCCACAAGAGGGCCCGGTCTGCACCAGCCATCTGTTCAGCTTAGCTCAGCACAAGGGCAGTGCCTGGACTGACCCAGAGCCCCTGCACATCAGTACTTCACCCAGTAATCCTATGAGGTTGGTTTCCCTCTAAGCCTACTCCGTGCATATATCACCCCTGTTTTGCATGTATTTCTCATTTCTGGGATGACAGACATTTGTGAAACAGTGAGAGGGGGTTTGATGTATATAAAATCACGTGGTCTGCACCACCTTGATCTCGGTGTTTCGGGCACTAAAGCAACAAAAAAAAACCCATAGTATCTCATTTCGTCATCAAATCCCAAAAAAATAGGCTGGTTTTCCAGGATGTTGACCCACATGATTTGGCCACAGATTAAAGTGAAGAGGCCTAGTCACCATTATCCCTGCAGCATGACATTTTGGTTGTCACTGACCTACCACTCAGAAGAGGCCGCGGCCTCCTGGCTGTGAGCCCCACCCCCCCATCTCGGTTCTCCCAGATAGCAGCCGCCGGGCCCTTGCTGGGTGAGGGCACACCCTGTAGGCCCACCACCACCAGGGGCCAGCCTCCCACCCAGGACAGGCAGAAGCTGTGCTCTGGAGCTAGGACAGCTGGCTGAGAAGTGGGTTCAGGTGAAGGGTTAAGCCATGTGTAGCAGGTCCTTCTAGGACAGACCTGGACAGGAGCTGATCTGGGGGGTGTGGTTGTGAAAGTGCCCTTTTTATGTTAGGAGGCCTTGGCAAAATTGGATTTCTTCAAAAATGTTTTCAATCTAATGAGCTGTTGTTGAACTGTACTCTGCCCCTGAAAGAGGCCGCAGATGCTGCCTGCTGCTTGGCTTGGCTTTTGCTTTCCCAACATGTTTTGATCTGTGTTCGCTTGAGGCTTTCCCCAGCTGGTATGTGCAGGACAGTTCATGGTGACATTTCCCTCTGAGCCCCGGACACCAGAAGGGAGGCCGTGAAAAACTGTGCTTCAAATGTGGCCTTCAGTTCTTGCTTTTTTGCCCCTCAGAAGCATGGGGCTTTGAGCACACTTAGAAAAATCTGTAACTTGGTGCTTATTGATTAATTGCAAGCTGGCCTTGCAGATGGAGATATTTATCTTTCTGTTTATTTGAAAGAGGTCTGGTTTGGAATTTTTAGTCTAAATTTGTTTTATTTATTGTATGTGTGTGTTTGTGTTTTTCTTTTCTAAGGGTGAACCAGGACTAGCCCAAGAGTCTAAACTTACCTGATCAATGCCCAGTGAAGTTAACAGCCAGCGCCTAACTCTGTGTCTTTCCAAGTGCCTTGAAGGCCCAGATGAAATTTTAAGGGGAGGGGTCCATGTCCTTCCCTCCTCCACCCCATCTTGTTCTTTAACCAAAGGATGTCTTCTCCCTTGTTTGAGAATGAAGAAATTTGCTACCTCTGAGCTACCTTTGCCTTTTTTTTTTTTTTTTTTTGGTCATGGAGAATTCCTACCCTTTAAAAACGTACTTCAAGGCCAAAACCTGCTGATTTTTCTGTTGAAAACATGTCCCCTTGTAAAGACCCTAAACAGAAAGTTAAGTTGCTTTCTTTCACCAATCCATGCAACTCCAAGTTACAGCTGAAACTGTTGTGACTTTCCTCAGATCTACCACGGGGCTTGGCTGTCTGTTCTGGTCACTGGCTCTGAGTTCCCCTCCTGGGGTTCGCAGGAGGGCGATACTGAACCCGCATTCATTTCGTTGTAGATGTAGGCTGGGTGCCCCTGTCCTCCGGGTTTGGAACATTAAGGGGTTGGTGCTGATTGGATTTACTCGCATACCTGCTCTTCACAAAAACACCGTGAATACTCACTGAAGTTAGAGCGTGTGGCCACAGAGCTTGACTTCTGTGTTAGAGTGTCTTTTACCCGCCAGCTGCGATGTTTCCCCTGCCTTGGTTGTTTTAGCAGTTTTTAAAAATGGAGATTTCACCTCTGTCCAGACCCCACTAACTTAAATCGATTTGCTCAGGTTCTGGTTGGACAGGTTTAAAATCAGAAGGGTAGGTAGTGCCCGGAATTCCCCTGAGCCACCCGCCTTCATCCAGGAATAGTCTGCGGTGCAGAAAGAGATCCACTTACCAAGAACTGTGCTCACATACCTTTGTCATCTGCTTCTTCCTTGGAAGTTGTCCTCAAGGGGATTTCTTCGTGTGCTCGGGATTTAACTGGGATGGTGGCTGCCTGTGCTTTTGCTCATGACCTTGACAGTGCTGTAGTTGCTGGATCTAATGGCCTGTCTTGGTTTCTCTCACATGAGAAGGGGTTGTTTTCTGGGGTGACTCAGACTGAATTCCCCATACTGTTCCCACACCAGGATGCCATATTCTCCAAGCTAAACAAATCAGATGCCTGAACTTGTGCTTATTTTTGGGGGAAAGATGGAATTACTATCCAGAGTCCCCAGATATCCAGAATCGAGTGAACTTCGTGGAAGGAGGCTGCATCTTCTCTCCATTCCAGTCATCTCAGTCGTCATCCCAGTTGGGTGACACGTGCACTTTAAACGCTCTCCTCGGTTGGTTTCATTTTCCAGACGATCAAATGTATTGGCTGTGTTTTCTTAGAAAAATGCAGAGGGTTAAAAACATGTACACTGCCACATTCAACCTTTGCCAGTATTTCTTCTGCCCCCGTGAGAGCTTCCGAAGGGAAGAATCCTTACCAAGATTTGTTTTGGAAAGGTACGAATCTTACCTTTTTTCCCCTCATGTCTCAGGGTAATACTGTTGAGTCACCTCGTTGCTAATTTTCACCGCTTTGCTATTTGTTACCTTTCTTAGGCCTCAGTATTTGTCGTGAACACAAAGTTTTGAGACCCTTGGCTTTGTGACTTCTTGTGGGAGGGGAGGTGTTAGTGTGTGCAAGGATCCAACCTGATAAGCCCTGCCTTAGTACAGGGTGGGACCACGCCCTTAGGGGCCGGAACTGGATGCCGAAGTTGCTGTCCACAGAAGCGCTTTCATCATTTTTGTCTCTAGGGCTCTTTTTCCCTTCAGGTCTTTCTTCCCAAGGATGTTGGTATTTGCATTGGAGTTGAGGTTTACTGTAATGATGGGTGGTCCGTCTGTGCCCAGAGGACAGCCAGGCCCTGGGAGGTTTAGAAAGTCCTGGTGAATGGGCTTCCGTGGTCACAAGGAGAGTGGCTGTGAGGTGACGATGTCCACCCTCTGCGGTTGGATGTCCTTGGAATGCAGGAGCCGTCAGCTAACACTGTGGATGAAAGGGGGGCGGCAGCTGTGGAGATCTATGTGCCTTGCCTGTCTTCCGCAGGACCGCCTAGGTGTGCGGCCACCTCCAGGCATGTCCCAGCCAGCCAGCGCCCTCAACCTCAGAGACGAAGAAGAGGGCAGAGAGTTTGGGCTTAGATCTGAACTTTCAATGTAGCAGGGCATTCCTAGTTCACCAGAGCCTTAGAGTCCACTGCCTGCTGGCCAGGCTTTACAATGAAAAGTATTTTAATGCTGCCATAAGTGGGAAAAAATTAAAAGGAAGGTAAAATAAAGGCATCTTTCCAAGTACTCATCTAATTTGTCAAAAGATTGACAGGCCTGGAAGTGGGCAACCTTCCACACTAGTCCCCTGCCTTCAAAGTGTGTGACCTGCCCTACTACCAGGTGGGGCCACCTGTGCTGCAGTCCCAAGGGGCTTCTGCAGGAAGCACTCACCCCACCCCTTCCGCGGCGTCAAATTTTCTGCCTTTTCGCACCGGAGGCCGTGGGCAGTCCCTGTGCACTGGCCCTGGGGTGTGCCTGGTGAGTTTGCCTGTGGTTCAAGCTTAGCCCCTGGTCTCCTGTGCTCTGCCACCCGTGTCAGGTTCACAGGGGAGATAAGGGGAGGAGGGTGGTTGGGACACCCCAGATACCTCTGCTGTCACTGCTTGTTTCCAAATGATCTATGGGCACTTCCGTGCTAAACCTATTAAATAAAAAGACGGGTTAAAACCCAGATGCTGTATATTAATTTGTAATTATGTATAAAGTGAAGCAGTTTTAAACTGTAAAGGTTTTTTTCATTGTTTTCTGGAATTTGCCACAGCATACTGGCTTTGTATTTTATTTCTAGTTATCAGCTTCAGACTCTTGTAAAGTCCCCCTCAGCCCTTTCAGACAAAATAAATTCCCTGTGGAATCTTGGTTGGTGCTGTGATTCATTCCTGTTCCTGGTTCTGTAGAAGGGATACTCCCCTCCTACCCCCAAAGCTCTGGAGGAGAGGCTTCTCCCAACGAAATCATTTATTTCTGTAGTTGCAGGAGCCAGATTGGGGGAGGAGAGGCCTGTTCTGAGCGGCTGCTGGGGACGCATTCTCTCTTGGGAGTGAGACTCAAACCCAGAGAGCGACTGATCAGCGCTGAAGTCAGAGGTTATGCCAAGAGCCCAAACTTTGCATTTCCAGATAAATCAATGCAGTGAACAGAACTTTCCTATAGAGCCTGTGACTGCTCTTAATGTTAATTCATCTTCCTTTGCTAACATTCACCACTCCATCCCACCCCCAGACTAGAGCAACTGCCGGAAATTAATTCAAGAAGAAAGATCCTCTCTGCATTGAGCTCCGAGTTGATTCACCGGGTCTGATACTAGAATGCCAGGACTCCCAGGAGATGCACAGGGCTAGCCGTTACTGGCTCCACCTGCACAGCCTGTGGCTTCCTACTTTTCTGAGCCTGCGCCTTCTAGACCTGTGGGAAGGCCCTTAAATACAGCTGGGCGTTGGAGAACTGTGCAGCTCAGAGTAACAGAGAATGTGGGCAAAGCTGCCCAGAGTCCCTGCTCTGCCACTTCCTGGCTCACGCCCGTAATCCTAACACTTTGGGAAGCCAAGGCGGGCAGATCATGAAGTTAAGAAATTGAGACCAGCCTGGCCAACATGGTGAAACGCCGTCTTTACTAAATATACAAAAATTAGTTGGGCATGGTGGTTTGTGCTTGTAGTCCCAGCTACTGGGGAGGCTGAGGCAGGAGAATTGCTTGAACCTGGGAGCGAAGGTTACAGTGAGCTGAGATAGCACCATTGCACCCCAGCCTGACGACAGAGCAAGAATCCGTCTCAAAAAACAAAAACAAAAAACAAAACAAAAACTTCCTTGCTGCCAAGTGTCTTGTTTTACTGCAAACTTGGAAGTGCACGGGTTTTTTTTGCAGAGTATTGTAGCCCTGGTGATAGCTGCCTCCCGACAAGCCAATAAAGCACTGGCCTTTCTTCTCTCAGTCACTTTTGGCTGTCACTGCTGCCCTGGAGTCTCCTCCCGCACAGCAGCCTCCTGGCCTGGGTCCATGGTGGCCCTCATCCCACCCAGACACTTTCATCAGGGCAAGAGGAGTGGTTCCCATGGCCTCCCTCCTCCACTCTCCACCACAATTGGTTCTGAGCCAGGGACAGGCTCTGTCCGGGAGGCAAGAAGACAAGAAGGTTCCATTCTTCTCTTCCAGAACAGCAGAGGCCCAAAGAACAGAGGGCCCCAAGGACACCAGACAGCCATTCAGTGGGGGCCCAAGTCTCTGCCCGTTCCTAACGGAGGCTGCTATGCCCAGAGCCTCTGCCACAACGCAGACTTAACTGCCAAGTGGCTCCTACGAAAGTGGCCATTTTCTGTGGGAAGGTCCCTCATCCCCAGGGCAAGACCGTGGCCTGGGGGCGGCCACCTGTGAACTAACGGGATGCTGCCTGCAGCCACGGCCCTGCCAGAAAGTGAGTGGGAGCCACTGATGCAGCAAGAAGAGATCTAAACCGAAGCGCGGGGAGGACCTTAGCCGGCCCAAAAAACCGAAAGGCCACGGAGGAGCTTGGGAGGAGAGGAGGCCTGCAGCGTGCAAGCTTTGCGAATTCCTTGGAAACAGCCACAGAAGCAGAGGGCCGGCCAGCTGAGCGGCAGAGCCATAGACCTCAGACCTGGAACTTCCTGAACTCCCTTCCCGGGGTGACAGCCCCCTCATCCAGCCTCTGCACAGCAAGAAGCTCCTACCCGAGCCCCCTCCCCCAATCCAGGTCATAGTTGTTCCTTGGAGTCTTAGGAGACTCCTTTGTCCTTAACATTTGACTATTTCTTCAGGGGCACAGTGGCAGCTCACCCAGAGGGCACTGGCGCAGTCTAGTTGCAGCACCGTCCTGCCACCCCTGTGGGTGTCCCCCCGGGCCAGAGAGGAGGCTCGAGTGGGAGGAAGTGGGTCTCAGGGCCCCAGCAGCATACACCCTCCTCCCCAGTGTGGGGCCCTCTGTTGCTGCCTCCCTGCCCCTGCCCCCTCCGCCGTCCCCGGCTGCCTTTGGTATTCAAGTGACAGCCAGGGCTCCTCCCAGCCCGCTCAGGCCTCCTCCTTTCATATGGTAATGGTCTGCTCCACGCAACCCTAGTCCCACAGATGTGTGGGCCACCCATCCCTCCCCGTGCCTTTGGGAAACTTTCCTTCTTCCTGGGAAACAATCTGGACCAGGGACAAGGACCCCGGAGGCCTCAGTGGGAGAGTTGTGGGGAGGGCCCACAGCTTCTTGGACTGGGACAGCTGGAAGCCAGGCCTGCTTTTTTCTCCCTCCCTGGTCACCACTTCCCTTTGAGCTGTCCCTGAACTTCCCACCCCACCCCCACCTGCTGAGTTTGAGGTGGCGGTTGCCTGGACAACCTCGGTTCTTCTCTGTGGTTTCAAAGGAACAGGCTGCCCAGCAAGTAAAACGTGGCTGCCTGCACTGAGGAGCCTGGGAGCGGGCCACGCTGGGTCCCCCTGTTGGGGAAAGCTGTGGACCGGCTGAGGGGGCCACGCGGAGGCACCAGGATGGGCACAGACTCCAGACCTGCCGTTCATAGCCGAGTGGCCAAGCTTTTAAGCCTCTGCCTCCATTTCCTCTTTCCGAAGGGACTGATGTGTCTGCAGGTGGTGCGCACATTGTCATGATGCTGAAGACATAAGCTGAGTGCTCAGTCTGGGGCCCAGCACACCCGCCTGGAAGCGGTGGGACAGCTGCCATAGCAGTGGCCCAGGATTCACATCCGAGTCTGGAGAGAGCTCTCCAGGGGGCAGACTCTGTCTTCTCCATCTTCCTGGGCAGCACACAGCCACACACAGATGCGGTCTGGCTCGGTGCAGCCACCTCTATTTCACTTAGCTCTGGTTAACTGTCACTTTCTCAAGGTAGCCTCCCTGACCAGGGCGAACCTGTCTCCACCTTCCAGTCTGCTCGCTTAGCTGACAGGCCTGCAACTCGCACAGAATCAGATGATGCCGGCATCTCCCGGCTTACTCCAGGCACCTGCTGTGCTGAGCCCTCCTTTGTCCACTCCCCTGGAAATGGGCTGAAGGCTGCCTCACCCACATGTTCATTCCAGTTAGGAGCTGACAATCAAGGATGGGCAGGGCTATCCCAGGAACCTGGGGGACACCAGTCTGCTACCAGCAGGGCCAAGTCTGGAGGGTGGAAATCAGGCTGCTGCGACCCTACCTAGGACCAGGGGCTCTCACCCTCTCCCACTGGGATGAGGGGTACTTGGGGAAGCCAGGGTGAACAGTCCACCTGCTAGGTCTGGAAACACTAAGTTCACACCCTGGGACCCCACTCCTGTGTATCCTGAGGCAACAGGCTTAAGCTCTCTGGGCTACAGTTATAAAAATGGGGATAATGACACCTACCCCATGCAGCAATGGTAAGAAAAAAATACTCCCTTCTTCCTGTCAGGGAGAGAATGACAACAGGAAGGCTGACCTTGATTGATGTCCTCACAGTTCCCTCGTGGGCCTGCCAGGTGTGAGCACTGCCTGTGATTTGGAAGACTCCATGTGGTTGCAGATGCATCAGGGTCAAAGAAAGTTTTTCAATATTTTGCCGCCGCCTTAGAATAAGAAGTTCTTTCAGGCCTCGGGGCTCGATAGAGGGGGGCACTCACTGGGAAAGCCACAGGAGCCTCAGACCCATCATCTCAGGGTACTTAGCATCCTGACTGGGGGTGGAGTCTCTCCACTGGGGGGTGATCACAGGGCTCATGGAGTTCAGTCGGCCCACCAAGAGCCAGGCACGAACCCACGTCTCTCACAGCAGACCTGGGGTTTCCCCTAAGACCAGTGTTTTCCAAAGAACAGTCATTGCGTCTCCTGCTTTAGAATGATCTGGGCTGCTGGTTAAAATGCCTATCCCTGGGCCTAACCCCAGATGTGATGAATCAGCAAATCCAAGGATGAAGCCAAGGAATTTGCATTCTTTTTTGTTGTTGAGTCTCGCTCTGTCACCCAGGCTGCAGTGCAGTGGCATGATCTCAGCTCACTGCAACCTCTGCCTCCCGGGTTCAAATGATTCTCCTGCCCCAGCCTCCTGAGTAGCTGAGACTAGTCACCCTCCACCACGGCGGGGAGGGCTTCACCATTTTGGCCAGGCTGGTCTCGAACATCTGACCTCGTGTTCCACCCATCATGGCCTCCCAAAGTGCTGGGATAGCCATGAGCCACTGCACCCGGCCGGAATTTGCACTCTTAACCAAAACCCTGGGGGTTTCTTACCAAAGTTTGAGAGCTGCTGTGTGCATCCTAACACAGTTGACCCTTGACTAATGTGGGTCTGAACTGCACAGATCCACTTACAAGTAGATGTTTGTTTTCAACCAAATGAATCACTCAAATGCTGACAAAATGAATCAAAATACAGTATTTGCGGGAGGGCCGGCTCTCACCTAGGCAGGTTCCACGGGACCAAAGGGTGGGACTTTGGTGCAGATGTGGGGTTTGGTGTACACTGGGGTCCTGGAGCCAATCCCCCAGTATATTGAGGGATGGTTTTACTCCCACAGGGAGAGCTGGGGGAGCGGGAGGGCAGGAGAAATGAAGGGGAAGAAAGAACAGCCGGAGGAGCTCGGGTTCGACCTGCTTGGAGCAGTGAGACCCTTCCCACTCTGCAAAAGGAGCTTCCTGAGGTGGAACCCTGTCCTCATTCTCAGAAACTTCCCCACGAACATGTTCACTGTGCATGAACAGCAATGAGTAACTAAGGTGTGTTAGAAATGACGCAACCTCACTAAGCCACCGCAAGGATAGAGTGACTAGGCTGGGCGTGGTGGCTCACACGGTCAGGAGATCGAGACCATCCTGGCCAACATGGTGAAACCCCATCTCTACTAAAATACAAAAAATTAGCCAGGTGTACTGGTCTGTCTGTAGT